CTATAGAGGAGCCCGGTTCTTAGGTTGGAAACCGGTAAACTACCTGTCTGTATGGTCCTTAAAATAGCTCCACATCGAGCAGCTACAAAACTAAAAGCATATTATGCATTGTTGCTTCAGTATTGCTTCAGTTTAATCAGTAAGATAAAGCCATTTTAATAATACCTGTTTCAAGGAGCATTTAGTGCATAAGTACTTCTACATTTGATACGTTAAGTACATTTTGCGAAGGGGAGATATCACTACTTTTTTCACATCTGAACCACATCAGACCAGGTTTAAATAAAAAACCACTACAGTTAAACCTTGTCAAATCTGGATGGGATTATCCCAGAGAAGCTAAAGACTCTTTGAAACACATCTTCAGATTTTTGAAACCTTTACTCTATTTGTGAAGACACAAAAAAGAGGAGAATCCGTCGCTCATATGGCAAGTTTAAGTTACCTTTAAGAATCCAGAAACCACAGTGAGCTAACGTAGTTCTGGTTTCCTAGATAAATAAATACATATCTCCTTCCTAAATTAATACGAGAACAAACCGTGAATCTAGTCTCAATGAATAGTTTCGACACAATTAGTTTCACGCTTCTCTGTATCTCGGTGTATGACAGCTAGCTAACTGCTGCTAAAGAGAATGAATCTGCAATATCCGAGCATGCTAATACGCTAGCATGTTGATTAACTAGTTCCATAATAAAGAAAGTCTTCTGGCTGGAGCGCCACAGAATTGAGTTACAAGTCATAATCATGGCGAAATAAAACAATGCTGTAGTAAATAGTAAAGTAGTGATTCATTACCTTAGGTGAACGGTCTAAGTTAGCTTGCTTTGGTCCAGGGAGGGAGCTCCGGCACTTTCAGTTTGATGTTCCCTCACACCGGATGCGATGGCAGGGAAGTAGCTGCTAAACAGCGCCACCTGTCAGTGGGAGGACTGATCGGTATTCTGTGTTATTGTGGCCAGTGCGATGGATGGATGGATGGACGGATGGACGGATGGACGGATGGACGGATACTCCTCTCCACAACCAACTCCAAGTTTTGGAAAATTGTGATGGGTACTTTATACTATTTTCTGACAATTTACAAGGTATACAACTAACTGATTAATTAATTAAAAATAATTCACAAAATAGAAGACAATGAGAACAGGCTTTAAAATTATGAACTTGCATGACAAATGCAGTCACATGATAACAGCCAATCTTATACTCACATACTTTCACTTGTTTCCGATTTTGAATACACAAATTATACTGCAGCAGAGTTCTCCTTCAGCCCTAGAGGGCAGCAGTAATGAAAGAAACTGAAATGTAGTGTGAAGTAAAAAAGGAACAAGATATTCTCCTGCACTGAATGATTAAAAATTGAAGCCAGAAATCTTTCTGCCAGCAAGGCTCCCCGGCAGAAAGCCCTGAAGGCAAACGTTTTCTAACAGCCAGCCTATTCAAAATACTGTATTTTATAAACTAGCCTACTATTTGAACGTCAACATGATCCTGAAAATAATTTTACCCAAGAATAGGAGAATGGTGAAATTATTTTCTGCGACAACACCTTATTTTCCATGACATTTTACTTTTTCTCTCATTTTCCATGTGTTTTCTGTGACTGGTAGCTGGAACGGTTTTCCAGGTTTCCCAGGACACATGGGAACCCTTTTTTAGTTATTGTACAAAAATACATCCTGATTAGTGAAGCTTTATTATGGGAAATATTTAGGAATATGAATCTGGATCTGGTTTTGCAACAAAATACACAGTGATATATGATCATGTTAACTGGGACATAGTTGCCATAATATGGAAAATATTTAAATCCTGCAGTGCAGGTAATGGATGGATGAATGCATTGATGGATGATTGGGTTGATACAATATATTAGGTCTGTGCACTAGTATGAATGACTTTAAAGTAAGTCAGACTCATGACAAAGTGTGTCATGGTGTTGTAGTGTCACCTACAGGTGATATGGCGTAAAGTTTTACAACTGCACTGTTCTCGACTTCTTAAGTTAACTGCCACAATAGCCCCCAGCCCTCACTGGGCAGCTTACATCATCGATTCGTAAAGGCCCAGTGCACACTGACACACCAAGCTGTCATTTTAAGATTTATACAGTCTGGAAACAGTTTATTAAAAACTGCAAGAAAATTAATTTTTTACTTTACTCTGAATGGAGGACTGAAATGGAGAGAGAAAGATGCATTTACAAATATTACTGTTTTGGTAGGGATGTACTGTCAGTCGAACTGTTGAACTGCACAGGCGGGATGAACAATTTTTCCTAAATATATTCCCTCATTTGGTGTTTTGATGATACAGAAGCATCTGCTTTTGGTAATGTTCATACTGACCTTTATGTTTATTAAGCTTAGCAAAGAACACATCTAACAGCAAAATTGATATGAACTTATACAAGAAAACTCCATGTCACCTTCAAAGTCATCACTTCAACCTCATAGTAAATGGCAAATATATAAGATACCAAAGCTGTCCTGAATTACTACAAACGTCTGAATCAAAAGTTTAAAATATAAAGATTTGATTAAAACCATTCTTTTGTCATGCTCCACACTCACAAGATGAAACTAATACAGGTCTTTTTCAGGAAAGAGTTTAATGTCAGATAGTAACTAGCATTTTCCACGTATAATAACAACTGTGGCTCCTGCTTCTCCTTTCCCCCTCATACTCCCTCCTTTTTGTATTATCAGTACATAATACTTTCAATTTCTCTTTGAAAATGTCACTTAGATATTCAGGTGAACTGTACTGTGACCTGGCCTCACCCTACTTGCTCTATATCAAGATAAATAAATGTTTTCAGGTTTCTCTTTACTTTCATTTCATGTGAAAAGACACTTGATCACAGCTTAAGCCTTTTAGACTGTGTGCATTTACTTCCTTGTAGATCTGGGTTGATAAACCTTACACTGACTAAAAGTGGATATACACATGCATGTTACCTGAAACCTTCCATTTAAAATTTGAATGAAGTACTGGACTGCAAATCCCTTTAATTAATTAATTTCCAAAGAAAAACAAAGAAGGTGGTGCAAAATACCAGCAGAAAACAAAGACTATTGATCACTCAGGCAACAAACACAAAGTCCTCATCCCAGTACAAACCAGCAATCATGCTGTCCACACATGTCAAGTTAGCATTCAGCCAATCTGATTCACCAAAAACATCCTAACCCACAGCAGCAGTGTGCAACAATGCCGACAATAGGAGCTAATCTCTTCAACTCTGCCATGATGTCTGTACTGTGACTATACCCAGCTAGCTTCTTCTTATAGCCAGCTGAAGACCCATAGTTGGCGGCATTTGACGTAGTTCCGGCAAATCGTACACATTCAAGTCATGCTCATAGTGCAAGAAGAGGCGTTTGGGGACAGAGTGTACAAGTTAGTGTGCCATCAAAATGGTTTTGAAGCTGTTAAATATACACAGTGCTGCTGCTTTAATTCCAAACTTCAGAAACAGAATCATAATACCTCGCCTTATTTACTCAGCAGCATTGTTCTGTATACAATAATGTAGATAAACTGGTTACAGCAAGAGAAGGCGTGTTATGAATACCATTTGACTGATGTAGTTATTACATGCAAGAATAAAGCATCATAAAGGTTTAATTCACTAAAATCCTGTTTGTGATTTTCATAGACAGGATTTCAAGATGCAGCTGGTGGGTGCTGGTTGGAGTGTGTCCGGTTTGGGGGCCTCAGAATTCTGTCCTTGCTATTTGCAGATAATGTGGTGCTGTTGGCCTCATCAGTCCGGGACCTTCAGCATGCACCGGGGTGGTTTACAGTTGAGTGCACTGAAAATGGTGGCTTGCTCTCTTTGGGTTGGGATGGAGTTTCTCCCCCGAGTGAGGGTAGGATGCAGCAGGAGATTAACAGGCAGATCAGTGCGGCGTAGGCAGTAAAGCAGGCATCGTATTGGATCATTGTGGTGAAGAGGGAGCTGAACCGGAAGGCAAAGCTCTCAATTTACCAGACAATCTTCTCTCCGACCCTCACCTGTGATCATGAGCTTTAGGTCATGACTGAAAGAATGAGACTGCAGATACAAATGACTATCATAAGTTTCCTCCACGGGGTGGTTGGGTTCAGCCTTACAAAATATAATGAGCTGCAACCTTCACTTTAACAAAAGGCTCACTGACTACGTCAATGGAGATCCACTGTATATGCCTGTGGCTTCCTGACCTTTCTATCACGTCTGTTTGTTTTTCTTTCTCTTTTCTGGTTTCAAACTATTGTGTCTGCTATTAACTATTGTGTGCAAAAAAAATTAATAAAAATAAATAAATAAGCGATCACGCTTATTTTCATTCACACAATGTTGCCTGCATGTAGCCTGCGTGACGCTGCCAAGAGAAAAACATAAACAAACACAAAGTATCTCTGCGTGATTGCACACCTTCCTGCTTCAGAGGATGGTTTGTTATTAGACTGATGTAGTGGTCACAGGTACTTGAAAAATTTTTAATGATTTGTTCACTTTAGATTCACATTTGAGGAAGAGGCTGTGAATCATTTATCAGCGTTCCAAATTTTCTGCCACAAAATGTATTTACTTACCTCTCACAGTGCAGTCAGTTTGAACAATTCATTTTACAATAAAACTGCTAATATTATATACCATACAATGATTGTGCTTGGATTTCATTTTTCCAAACATTCAAAATGAGAACACAATATCTTTGTCACCAGCAATTACTATAAACTATAAAACTATACTATATATTGATTTCAGTTTCAGTTTGAAGGAATTCAGGCAAGGTGTTTCCAGAACAAAATGTTATTGTTCACTGAAAACCAGTTTTCGTCGTCTTGCATAAACCTATTGTTCTCAAACATATTTTTTTTTGTTTTTATTGTTCTCTGCATGCCATTGAACTTAGCAGGACCTCGTCCAACTTCTCCAGCAGATCTGTGGGTGTATATAAAAGATGCCGCAGGTGGATGCAAACTGCCGAGAATCTGGAGACAGTCCTTGGCATCATGGCTTTCACACTGGTGCCCCTGCTTCAACTGCTCCTGGTCTCACTGGTGTCTGCATCGCATCACTATGGGGGAACCGTGACCTTCTCCTACAAAGGAAGAAACCCTGATGGATCCCATAGGGTGAGAGATGATAATGTTATTCAGCATTCTCTATAGATAATGTGTGAATCTGTCTTGTATGGGCATCATTCTTGTTATTCTAATAGAATACAATTTTAAATTCAGCAAATTTCAATTTCATTTTTTTCTATTTCCTCAGTCTATTTTATTTTTTTATTGTCTTTTTATCTTGAAAGGCTGCACAAAATGTATCCTGAATTATTATTATTATTTTGCATTTCAAGACATCATCAAGGCACATCGGGGGTAAAAAAAAAACAAAAAACAAAACTAATTAATTTATCTTTTCTTGGTCCACAGTGTCCACAACAGATGCCTTTCATGGTTTTATTGTTTTTTAGCATGACATGTACAGCAACAGTGCATCCAAATTTCTTTATCTCTTGCTTTAAGAATTAAATCTTCAAAAAGGTCCAAAATAGTTTTGCTTTAGATTCCTGTTTTCATACTTGCTGTCAACTGTATGCAAGGTGTCGACTGAAAGTTTTAATTGTGCTATTGTGTTTTGCATTTTTCCTCCAAAATGCTTATTTGTCATAATCAAGACAAAATAGTTAGTTAAATAGTTTGTTAAAGTAAACTTGAGTTCACATGAAATTATTTAATGTTGTATAGTGTCTTTAGTACCTTTCTTTAACTAACATTTGCCTGTTCATGGAAAAAAGAAGAATTTTAGTTAGGATTAGGGTATGTGACAATGTAGCAGGAGGTGGATATCTTGGTTGCTTATGTTGGAATTGGATGACCTTCTGTCTGTAATTTGTGATTTTAAAAACCTGTTTATGATTTTGACTAAAATATGACCTTCAGCTACATGTGTTGCTTGTGTTGTTTATATTAGAAAAGTGTTATGGTTATCGGAACAGATAAACGTCTTCTTAAAATGGATAGTATTATAGAGTGATATAACTGCTAGGTTTATAGAATACAGCCAACACACACAATTGCTTAATTTGAGCTTCTTCCACAGGTCGACATTCGCAACAGGGACACTTTTGATGGGTGTCGGTTCTCCCACTCATGGCAATGTTTCAACGGCAACTGTGGCCAGAACATCAGAAGTCAGAGCGGAGTGCTTGACCAGAGCACCAATGCGCCACAATATAACAGGCAGTGGTGTGAAACTGAAACAGTCGTTACGAAAAAACTCTGGAGTGAAAAACCTTTTCAAGAGAGGTGGGCTATAAATCATTTAAATATTGTTTTATTTATTAAGTCAAATTTGTTCAGTTACTCACATCTATATCTGCAGTATTTCAAGTGTTGTTTCCACATATCAGGGCAGCTAGCTGTTGTTGGATCCCAACGCGCTATGGGAATAGTAACTGGAGGCTACTGACTCATGTGGATTTGGGAACGAGATCTGACACCAGACAACCAAACAGATCACCAGACATCGCCATTCTACCTTTCCTCCGGTAAGTCTCCTGGAGTTATCATGAAACTACTAACCTTTAACTATTTTTTTAAGGAAACTATAGAATTTGAGAATATCCTCCTGCTATCCAGGCGCAACATTTTTTCTAACTCATGTTAATGTGTCTATTCAAGAGTTCCTCAGAACTGCCCACGGACATACAACTTGATGTCCGCTGATCCTGATGGTGACCGAGTTCGATGCCGATATGGAAATGCCATGGGTACAGAGTGCAGCTCGTGCAACCAGCCATCAGGCTTCCACTTAGATCAGGTCAGTTGAAAAATCTTTTTACTGATACATTGCATATTAATGGATTGATGCTATGCCTCTCAACTACTAAATGTTCATGTTTTTAGGACTCTTGTACATTACACTACCACAACACCAGTGCCAATGCAAGAGTTTTTGGATTTGAGTTGGTGGTGGAGGACTACCCACAAGGCCACATCACTCTTGCCTACACGGATGGATCCCGATCCGCCAGGAGTCCACTGCCAAGGAGGAGAAAGAGACAACTATTAATCCCATCTACAACAACCGCAGCCCCATGGTGGTGGTGGCACAGTACAACCACATATCCAACCACCACCGCACCATCAACCGCACCATCAACCGCACCATCAACCACTGCCCCATGGTGGTGGTGGCACAGTACAACCACATATCCAACCACCACCGCACCATCAACCACTGCCCCATGGTGGTGGTGGCACAGTACAACCACATATCCAACCACCACCGCACCATCAACCGCACCATCAACCGCACCATCAACCACTGCCCCATGGTGGTGGTGGCACAGTACAACCACATATCCAACCCCCACCGCACCATCAACCGCACCATCAACCACAGCCCCATGGTGGTGGTGGCACAGTACAACCACATATCCAACCCCCACCGCACCATCAACCGCACCATCAACCACAGCCCCATGGTGGTGGTGGCACAGTACAAGCACATATCCAACCACCACCGCACCATCAACCACAACCCCCTGGTGGTGGTGGACCTCTACAACCACACCATATACCACAACCTCATGGTCGTGGTGGCGGCACAGTACAACCACAACTGCACCCACAACTACAACCACACCCAGAACCACAACACCATACACTACTACAAGTCAGCTGCATGCCACGTCTGCTCCTCTCAGTAAACTACCTTTGCAGTTCTCTTTACTTGGTAAGTAAGATTTTATGCATGCACAAACAAATACTGAAATCAAGAATCCAAGTACGCAGAAAAGCTTGACCAAAAACCTAATTTTGAAAAAGTTCTAAGATCTTTAACATTGTATTTATTCAGTTAAATAATTTTTGCTTATCCACTATGAATGTCCTGTAAAAGCAGTTTAAAAAAGGATTATTAAGCCTAAATCATAGGAAGGTTTTCTCTACACATGGAGGAAAACATTTGATTATCTGAAAAGATTTAGATTATTATATTTGGAGATACCTGGTGTAAACACTTAGTGACATCACAGTATGAGGCCAGAGTGCAAAAGCTTTAAAGTTTTGATCCATAGACAGTGGCACAGTGGCAGTTTACTAGCTCTTGAATATTTGTTTTACTTTGGGATTTCAATTGATCTTTTTTTCAACTCCAGTGGACCCACCTGCTCCCTCATGTCAAGATGGACTCTACTTGCCGAAGTTTGTGCAGCCAACACCTGAAAATGGAGCACGTATCCGCGCAGAGGTCAACAAAGAAGTGGAGATCAGAGTCAAAGCACAAGCTGCATATGCAACGTGAGTGAGAACCAATGTAATCAGTGAGGCCCTGTGGCAACAAAACATTGTCATCATATCAGCAGGTAAGATTAGATCCGTGATAACAAGGAAATATCTGGTTTCTTTTGTTTTCACACAGATTACATGATATCATCATCAGTGGGCCAATGAACATCAGCAAGCACAGGAATACACATGATGAGTTTGCCATTAGGTGGACGCCTATCCTAGATGACCTTGGAGATCATTTCCCAATCTGCTTTGCTGTTGAATCAGTGACGGGGTGAGCCTTGGGTTCATTTCTTCTATGACAAATCAGTGTGTGTGAGAGAAACCATAACTGAACTTTTTTTTTTTTTAATCATATTTTTGCAGGTCTGCAGCAACCGCTGGTCAAACCACACAAAATCACCATCACCATCACTTCTCCACCCAAACTTCACAGTAAGTGTCATTTCTCTGTGTTTGATGTTTTACAAAATTCACCTCTGAGCAACGAGGCAGAGTCCACTACTTTGATGTTCAGAGGTGCAGCTGAAGGATGAAAAAATAAGGAACTTGTTAAGCTGCCAAGATTTAAAATAATTCTCGATCATTCAGAAAAGAAGCAAATGTGTATCAAAAGTTAGATTTAAAGGCTGGTGGCATCTGCATCTTCAAAATTTATCTTAAAATCTGTTATCACCAGGTCTGGCATCTATCAGTCCGAGATGAGGTGTGTTCTGGTGGAGGTCAGGAGGGAGCAAGGTGAGTCACAGGGCTACATCATTGTCAACATTTGGTAGTGTAACTTTAACTGTAATGGTGTAAATGTTCACCAACTACATCACCTCCTAACTACTGCACAGCCGTATGGCCAGTGTAGATTGGAGAACTCTTAAAGCTGCAAGACCTGTTCTTTTCTAATTTGGTGTGTTTGAGTAAACCATGCTACCAAACAAGATTCAGAACCATGACTGTGTGCAACATTGTTCTTTGAATGAATGTTCTTTCCTTTTGTTGTGAACGCAACTTAAAGCTGCATAAAGAAATTTTTGACCATTAGAGGGCAAAAAGACAGACACAGACCTGATATACCATCAGATTTAAACACAGGCCTGAAGTACTGAGTAAGTACTCAGACTGATGTTGCCATGGTTATCCTGGCAATAAACAACTGCAGACAAATAGCAACATTACCATAAAACATATATTAATATAAAATTGAATATATATAATTAATAACACATATTATAATATTCATTATGTTTTGATATAGACACTACTAAAGTAAAAATAAATAAATAAATAAAAATATTGCTTAATGCAGATTTTGTCAAAAAATATTTCTAAAAAATGTCATGATTCATGTGTTTTTTTTCCATATCTCGTTCCAGTTAAAGCCCACGTGGTCTGCAGTGAGTCATCAATGACGGTACATGTTGACAAATCGTCATTCGATGGACTCCACGAGGATCATCTGCGGCTCAGTGATCCCACCAACACTGCCTGCAGCCTCCAGACACACTCCAACAGTACCCACGTCATTGCTGTCGTCCCCCTCAACGCTTGTGGAACTCAGATCGAGGTAACGAAGGAGTCGTTTGTTTCATCACGTTATTGGTGTTGCTTTTTTGTTTTCACTCACTGCATGAGGACTGAATGCATAACTTTTTATTTTGCAGGAAGATGATGATAACCTCATTTTCAAGAATGAAATCACCACGGTCGACAACAGCAGAGACCTGATCACCAGGAAGCACCTGCTGGAGGTGCAGTTCTACTGCGAGTACCCCAAACGAGGAAATGTGACACTGAGCTTCACAGCACACAGAGAGAATGTCACAGTGTGGGAGAGAGGCTTTGGCACGTTCACCTACGACTTTGAGTTCTACCCTGACAACCAGTACCAAACTATGATTGATCCAAATTCATACCCTCTGGAGTATGACATCGGGAGCAAGATTTACATGCAGTTAGAGGCCACCTCTTCAGTCAACAACACTGAACTGTTTGTGGACTCCTGCAGAGCTGCACCATATGATAACCCCACCTACCATCCAACCTACTCCATCATTGAAAATGGGTACGAAAACTTTCTCAAGTGCCAACAAAGGAAACCACAAAGTGTTTGTAAGGATTTGTTGTTGGGGCTTTTGTTTGTAACTAAATCTCCTGTAGGTGTGAATGAGAGTGTGAATGGTTGCCTGTCTGTTATGTCAGCCCTGTGATAGACTGGTGACCCGAGTGTGCTCCATCTCTCACCCAGTATTAGCTGGGATAAGCTCCGTCTCTCTTTTTGATAATTATCTCCCCTTATCTTAAAAGCTATCCAATATGTCCTAATTTGAAAGTCTTGATTTAGGCAACCTCATCTTTGGCATCACCTATGCTCCTTTTACCTCTGTCCCTGTAGTGGAATAGAGTGCAGAGGCAATGTTCTTATCTTTTTTTTTTCTTGCTTTGACTAGGTGTAAAGTGGACCCAACTGTTGAGATCTATTCCCCCGCCCACAACAAACAGTTCAGGTTCAGCATGGAGGCTTTCAAGTTCATTGGACTGCACGATCAGGTGAGCAGCAGATCATAGAATTAGATTTAAGCAGGTGAGAGTAAATGTCTCCTGAGATATTTCTGATATAATGGCAGCGTGTCTTCTTGTATTCAGGTATACATCAGCTGTTCAGTCCTGATGTGTGAAGCAGGAGTCCCCAACACCAGGTGCTCGCAAGGATGCATCAACTCCACATGGCCAAGTGGTCAACACCATCACCACCGAAAGAGAGAGGCTGTCGTCCAAACTGCAAATCACTTTGTTTCCCAGGGCCCCTTGCGCCTAAGGAGATCGGCAGAGTCCCCCGCAGCCACAGGTATGAAAACACAGAGCGTTTTCTTAACAGCACACCTGCCTTGTTTGAGTCCCAATTAGACTTTGGACAAGACTGAATTCAAATTGTGTTTCTCTCTTCTCCAGTGACCAACCTGAATCTGAACCTGGTATTCATTGCTGGGTGTCTTCTCGCAGCTCTTGGCATGGTCTGTGGATTGGCCATGTACAAAGTCAAAATGTCAAAGGTCAAATACCAACCTTTGCCTACATTTGAAAGTTAAGACAGCAGCGTTTGAAGAATTCCAAACCCTCAGTTTGATTTTTTTTTTTCGAGAGGTTTTGGGTGTTCATGTATCTCCTCATATGCACATTTTAATGAATTAATTTTATATCAACATCCTTAGAAATGCCCACATCTATACTTGTATAAGCTGTGGAAATACTGGGGTCAGGTGAAATATGTCTGTGCAACTGGAAAACTTTGGAGAGAAACTTTTATATTAAATGATAGGATGATCAACTAGTTATGCAGCTGCTGGGTGATGTGATTATAGGTGTGGGATCCCAATTATCTTTATAACTGCTTCTACTAATATGTACTACAGTAAGATCTAAAACAAGTATCTTGATTGTTATGTGTAGTCCTATCCAGTCATAATCATTATATGTGAAAACCCTTCAATTGCTTTGGATGAATGGAGAATACCTAACTCACTTATGATATATGTGTTTGCTGGAAAAATAAAAATATATACGCTCTTACACATATTTTGGTTTTTGTCATTTTCTAATTTTTTTAAATGAAACAACAGTGATATGTCAAGGGCTTCAGAAAGTGTGCTCAGTTGATTGTAGCTGCTGTGCAATAGCAACAATGAAAGTGTGTCCCATTTCTATAACTCAAGCCACACTGTGTGATTGTGAACAAACAAAAACATGAATATCAAATAGCTTCACTGAACAAAAAATAAATAGTATCTTTGTGATTCACTGAAGCGTGAACTCCGTGACACCTGTCTGCTTGCTGGGAATGTGTGTTTTGTCTTTGGTATAAGTAGGGTGTGTTTTGAATGTTTTTGTTTGCCTGTTTATGATTCCTGCTCAGTCAGTCATTAAGCCTGTCTTTTACACTTTATTCAGGAATTGTTGAGCGAGTTTGTTGTGCACCAGAATTGGCGACTAGAAGACGTTATCAGAACGATAAGCAAAGTTATATGTTTATGTTAGTTAGCTTGTGACTGGCTGTGGCTGACATATTGTTAATGGTTGTGCTAATGCAAACTCTTGCTCTCTGTACTGAAGGGTTTATATGAGATTGTCATTGGTTCACTGCAGTTCCAAGGTGGAAATACTCAGTCATAGTGTTGACTGCTTATTTCACTTATAATATATCTTTTATTATATAAAAAACACCATATGGACATGTTAACACTTGGGAGGTCTTTAAAGAGTGAGTAACCCGTCACAGATGGGCGGAGTTAATTATATTACTGGGCTCTGAATGATCCAGACAAGACAAGGGCATAGAAAATAAAATTTTATTCTTCACATTTTATTCATTGCTGTTCACGTTAATTTTCATAATACATATAAATGAATATGAATGAATATTTATAAAAATAGGTATATGGCACTTTAGGTCATAATTTCACTAAAAAGAATGTTGTAGGCAGATAGTGAAGCACAATATGTTAAGAACAAACTTTGTATAAATAAGTATAATATAATATTATATAGTAATAGTAATAATAGTAATAATATAATAAGAGCAGAGAATATTCTGTGGAATTTGGATCATACTTCATTAATGAGTTTATACAAAGAAAAAGCTAATGTTAGACTGTGAAGGAACTACACCATGGCCACATGACTTCAATGTCACCACTGCCACTTGACTTGTAGTTTGATTTAGCTCTGACCTCTTCCACAAAAGCCTCCTACAAAGTTAGTAATAGTATGTAAAAACCTGAGTATAAACATAACCAGGATGTGATGACTCATAAAGTCCCAGACAACCTCTGTAGTCTCATTTAGCCACTTGTTAGTTGAGACATAGAAACTTTACTGATTTATTTTATGTCATAGTGACACCACAGATTTTTATTTCAGTGACTGAAACCAAAAACCCATTTAAAATACCCACAAACTTCAGGACGAGGCAACTGGACTAATTTCTGAGTTTTAGGACTCATTCCTTCCCAAAATATAAAATTTTCCCATGTTATACTTACATGGGAAAATGTACACAAAAGCAACTCTTCGCAGTCTGGACAATGACTCAAACTACCAATACCATCTTCAGTCTGTGTCAGAGGTCGGCAGGAGTTGGTATTTAGCTTTGGATCTCCTTGATCGGTAGACCACCACTCCACATACCAGGAGGCAGCCAGCAATGAGGACCAGGTTCATGCCCAGATTCAGGCTCAGGCCAGATGCTGAAAAAGAAAAAAAAAAACGAAATAAACTTCAGGTACAATTAAATGATGTATAATAATATATATTTAAATGAGTGGCCGGCGTGAATGGTTGTCAACTCTACTGATCAGTATGTCTTAATGACTAAATATGAGATTAGAGTGCTGCATTAGCTCTACCTGTACCTAACGAACTGGCAACTGAGTATGTATGTTCACACTCACCTTGACTGTCAGAGGTTTTAGCCAGGTGCAAAGGTCCCTGGGAAATGGAGTGCCTGCTAGTCTGAGCCACAGCTTCTCTTTTGCCACGATTTGTCCCAGAGTTGGATCTGATGCATCCCATAGAGCACCTGGTGTCAGGCATGCCAGCCTCACACAGGATGACCGAACAGGTGATGTACACCTGCAGACACATGAAGATAAAGACATAAAAGGTTATTCGTACATTAGAAAAAAAAAAAAAAATTACCGTCATGTTATTACTGATTTTTTTTTTCATTTTCAGGCAGTGTAAAGTACTGAAGCTTTGATGTTAGATTTTAATAAAATACATTTGTGTTTTAAGGTAACCTTACCTCGTCATGAGCACCAATGAATTCAAAAGCCTCCATTCCAAATCTGAACTGAGATTTGGAGCTAGGGTAAACCTGCACTGTTTTGTCCTTCACACACCTGAGACAATGCAGACACATTGGTTTAAAACAAGAAAAGAATAATTTCACCTAATAACCCACTAGCACAAAAAAAAGTTGCATTCCTAATACAAATGTGTGCACAGATACAACATGAAGAACAGAACTCCCCATGCACAGCCAGAATTAGCGATCAGGTGCAGGTTGGTCAAAGGAAAAATCAAAATTAACTTGTGTACACTTACCCATTTTCGATGATGGTGTAACTGATGCGAGAGTTTGGGTTGTCATAGGGAGTTGCCCTGCAGGACTCCACAAACAGCTCTGTGTTGGGGATGGATGTGGTTGCTTCGATCTGCATGAATATCATCTGTTTGAGATACACTTCCACTGGGTAGGTCCCGGCATCAATTTGATTTCTGAACCGCTGGCTCTGGAAGAATTCAAACTGGAAGGTGAAAGCACCAAAGCCTCTCTCTGAGAAGGCGTATGGGTTTTTGTGCTTGTATCCCAGAGTCAGGTTGGTCCGCTTCGGATAGGCACATGAAAAGGCGATCTCAACATCATGTTGCCTGGAAATGATTTGAGTTGGGTCAGCAGAGGTGATCTCGTTCTTGAAGATGATGTTATCGTTATCCTCCTGAAAGTGAAGGAGACATAAATGGAGTCACTTGCAAAGGAGACAATATTGTTGCCAATGTAAGTAAAAATTTGACTTTTTGTAAGCCACTAAGTGTGGAGAAGCTGATATCTAAAGTACAAAAATCTATTGCTACACCTAAAAAGCCATTGGTTCAAATTGGTGCTCTCATCAATGTTGCCACCAGAGAACAATGTTGACATGCCAGTTTCTTTGTGGTAGGTTTGATTTGTATCTATGCCTCGTCACATCATTTTCAATTGTCAGTTGTCACAACAGTGTTAGCTATTGCTAACAAAAGAAAATGAAAATGCTCAAGTGCAAGTATCTCAAAGTTTGACTTTGGCACTGTGTAGGTCACTAACACAGAACTGAGACATGTTTGAGAAGAATCGTGAGATCCTATGAGTCATATGTTCAGGAGACTTAAATTACACTTATTTAAGATAATTTAGAGAGCTCTTGTTTTGATCAGAGTAAGACACAGGTGAGTAATACGCAGTTGTTCCCTTTTTAGGTCACTATGAGAAAACTGTGGCATATATCAGAAGAATCATGAGATCCTAGGAGTCATAGCTGAGTTTCCTTTGAGCTCTTTCTCTGATCTGATGGTCTCATGCTCAGGAGTTAATAATTATAATTAAAAATGGCCCATTTGTGTCTAGGAGAAATGAAAGAGATGCCTATGAGATCGCTTCTTGGATTTTACTTTTCTATGGGATACCAGCAACAATTTATATTGAACTGTAGAAAAAAAGATGTGGGCAGTGATCAAAAGGTCTGGAACTACCACGTTGTTTTGTGTGCTGTACCTCTACTCTGGTCCCACAGGTGTTCAGTGACACGACAGCCACCAGGTGGGTTGAGTTGGAGTGTCTTGTCAGGTTGCAGGCAGGATTTGTGAAGTCGTTCAGATGCAAGTTGTCCTCATTGCGTCTGATGAGATCGGACTTCTCCACTTCTACCGTTATTGTTGTTTCATTGCATGTCACAGTGGTCTCTAAATAAGATAGGTAACATTTATTAGTTATTGTGACGATGTGGTCGGGGTAGATGTAGAAGCTTTAAACTTAATGCTTAATCTTGCTTCTGTTGCAATGGTCAAATAGAGATTTTCTTTATTTAAGCCAAAAAACTTCAATTGGAAAGCTGGCTTGTACAAGTTCAACACCTGGGAAATATTTTCAGTAAACACGGTTAATGTAAATCAAACTTATTCAACATATTCCCACCCCATATTCTTTAAATATTTATATCCTGAGAGATGAAATGTAGTCAACTAACCATAATGTGCAACATCAGCAATCACACAGCGTAGCTCTGATTGATAGACTCGGTTGTGTCTGGAATATTGCAAAGGAGAGATTGGAGTTAAAATAGTTTCAACAATTTGTCCAGGGAAGAAACACAATAGAAATCAGATTTTAATCTTGTGTTTAAAGTTTTTAAGTATATTTTTTACTCATTTAGCTTGCAACACATTGATCTCAGTTATATTAGTTTATTTAAAACTCACATGTCTCTTGCTTCAGAAACAAAGCAAATAGGAAAATGATCATTCAGTTCATTTTCAGTTGGTGTCCATTTTATGATATACTGTTCTGTGGAGATTCTGTGCTTTGAAATCCCCTTTGGTCCAGAGATAATCAGGTCATGAATCCTACAAGAGAAACAATGTTTTTTTAACTTTGCAAAGGGGAATATTATTCCTAAACATCTCTTCCTGACAACAGCAGGTGAACTCTATTTCCTGTAGGCTCATTAATAGGCTGTAATAAAGAGTGATATTTGTGATTAACTGTCTGTTACTCCCAGTTCTTACAACTAGCATCTAGCTACAGGTCATTTTAAAAATCATAGAGGTTAGGACATCTGATGTTCGCTCGCTCACTCATCTGCAACGTCTAATAATTAGTCGTGACACTCTAGATGTCATGAATGTGCTATGGATGTTTTGTGACAAATTAATCTTTGTTAAATACATTAAAAATTACAAAACACATTGATGCAAAAACAATACTATAATGTTAATGTTAAATTTCCTTACGTGCTGTATTGTGCTGAGGATCTGACTTTGATTTGGAGAGTCTGGTTGACAAAAGCAGGAAGATTTACTCCATTGCTCGGAGTTGGTGACAAGAAAGTGGGAAAGTAATCACCATCAAGGCATGAAGGGGCATGGTGGGCGTCCACTGAAGATCAGATGAGAGGAGAGACAGACTTTCAGAAATTGCTAAAATGTTAATGTTTAAATCAGCGTCATAGATTAGATCATTATGATAATTTATCACATACCAAAAACAGAAAACTGCAGTGGAAGTTTGCTTAAAGGAGCAATCGATGATTGATGATACGTGGTTGTTGTTGGAGCAGCAGTTGTGGTTGTTGGAGCAGTTGTGGTTGTTGGAGCAGTTGTTGTAGCAGTTGTGGTTGTTGGAGCAGTTGTGGTTGTTGGAGCAGTTGTTGTAGCAGTTGTTGTTGTTGGAGCAGTTGTTGTAGCAGTTGTGGTTGTTGGAGCAGTTGTGGTTGTTGGAGTAGTTGTGGTTGTAGCAGTTGTTGCAGTTGTTGTTGTTGTTGGAGCAGTTGTTGTAGCAGTTGTGGTTGTTGGAGCAGTTGTAGCAGTTGTTGTAGCAGTTGTGGTTGTTGGAATAGTTGTTGTAGCAGTTGTGGTTGTTGGAGCAGTTGTGGTTGTTGGAGTAGTTGTGGTTATAGCAGTTGTTGTAGCAGTTGTGGTTGTTGGAGCAGTTGTAGTTGTAGCAATTGTGGTTGTTGTAGCAGTTGTGGTTGTTGGAGCAGTTGTTGTAGCAGTTGTGGTTCTAGCAGTTGTGGTTGTTGCAGTTGTTGCAGTTGTGGTTGTTGCAGTTGTGGTTGTTGGAGCAGTTGTGGTTGGAGCAGTTGTGGTTGTTGTAGCAGTGGTGAATGATTGAGGGAGTTGACGTTTACCCCGTCCTCCTGAAAGGGGTCGCTTAGATGTGGAGGATCCATCAGAGTAGTACAACGTAATGTGTTTGTTGGGAAAGTCCTCGACCACGAGCTCAATTGGATGATATCCAGCTCTAGTTGTGTAGGAGTATGTTAAGGAGCAAGAATTCTAATGAATGGAAAATAGAAAGATGCTTCTGTCATTAAATACTACAACAGCTTTAACAATGTAACTGGCTATCACCCTGTACTTAATGAAAAGACATGGGATGGCATCAATCTGGCATCAATCCGCTCATCTAACTCAAGAAAGGAAGCTAATAAGGATCCGTTAGATCAATTCTCATTTCATTGTTATTATAAAACTATTATAATTACAGCGGCAGGGAAATAACTATGTTTTGTAATGTTATGTAAAATCTGAATTGTTACAGTACCATTCTTGCTTGTCAGACAATATCATTATGGTCTGATTGCTGACACTGTGTAGACTTGTTTTATGATTGATAATTAGCCAGTAAGTATTGTCATAACCATCATGGCAATTAAGGAAAACATTATTTAAATTCATGAACCAGTACCAGGCTGCACAGTGTCACCTAGTGGGCCTCAAAAATCTTGTCTGACAAGACCTGATCATCCATCTTTCAACACACAAAAAAAAGTGACTGTAACTACAAAAACACATCCTCCATCTGTTGCTGATATTCATCATTCATCATTCACTGGATAAGGTGTGACTATCTCCAAATCTCTCATGAAGTGGAGAGTACATTTACATGGTATCCAAATAAACCTGAATTTCATGCCCTGTCCACATTTACACTGATTTTGATGAAAATAAAACTTTTTCTATGCATCTTGGCCTTTGTCCACATGCAAGCGTCATTTTAGGTCACTGAAAATTGATCTTTTGCAAAACTCCAGCCAGGGTGAAGATTTTCGGAAACTTTTCGGGCTTGTGACATTATTGTTGTTACCCTACCAGAACCGATAATAACCTTTTTCAGGCTTCTCATTGGCCAACATGACTTTTACAGTTAGTGCCATATTACCACCTGTTGGTTTGACATGCTCTCCACGGCATGGTTTTGCATTTTCATGTGGACAGATTTTTGTTAGAACGGAGGAAAGCCCCTATCCTAATAAATACCCGTGTACATGTGAACATATGCGTCCTCTCTGTCTCTCTCTCTCTGATGCTGTTGATGGTTCTGACATGTTCACCCTGACAGGTGTTAGTAAGTCGCAGAAACACTGAGCTAACAAATCAGCCTACTTTTGACATAAAATTAAACAAATGAACATATTGAACATATTAACAAGTGAACACTGGAGTTTGGATGATTCTAAATTCTTACCTGATCTAAAGAGAAACCGTTGGTCAGACCACACAGCCCACACTCGTATGTGTTTGAACTTGTTGGTACTCTGCATCTGACCTGGTCACCGTCAGGGTCAAACACCGTCATGTTGAATTTTCGTGGACAGTTCTGGGGAACTCTGTAACATGTGAGTTAGAGTTGGGTTTTGGTTAGGATTAAGGTTGGGGTTACTTTTTTAAGTTGAGATGGTTAAGGTCAGGGTAAAGGGTTATAAATTGCATTATGATCTCACAGGTATAGAAAGACAAACATGTGTTTCATGTGTTACGAATGTGTTTTATTATTCTCGTCTAATTATTTACTGGTCAGATGAAAAACAGTGCATTGTAAGCAACACAGGGATGCATGGTCATTACCTGAGAATGGGCAGCATGGTAGTGACGGGAGATCTGTTCGATTCACCGGTATCAGATCGGGTTCCCAGGTCCACATGTGCCATCATGCTCCAACCCGCCCGTGAGCTTCTGGTGTTTGCTATCCAGTATCCTTGACCATATTGAGTGTTGTAGTAAGTGGGGTATCTGTTTGAAGAAAAATGTATTTGTTGTTATTTTATTTATTTATTTGTTACATTGTATCTCATCCTTGCTGTGTTATGTGAAATGTTGGATCGTCAATTGATTATGTGATTAAGTTAAGAGGGGAAATGTCTCTCTGGTGGCACTGCTAACAGCCCATAAACATCTGATTTGGACAACTAGCCACAATTAGACACTTGTTTGTTTTTCCAAAAAGTTGGAAACCACTGGTTTAATCTTTAATAATGAATTGCTTATGTTTTTTTCAATGTAAAATCTTAATTTGAAAAGTAACAAGTAACTAACAGTCAAATAAATATAGTAGAATAAAAAGTAATGTAGTGGAGTGGAAGTGTAAAGTAGATGTATAAACTAGCTTTCTGAGCAGGGAATTTACCCCAATGTGAGCAGTATAGGACTTCATCTATAAACCCGTTTTAAATAAGTACATCAGCCAGCAAAACAAACCAGCAAAGAAATCAGATGTGATGTTTTGATTATAGATCTAAACATTTATTGTGCATCTATGCTTCTTTTCTTCTGTTGTTATGCTCACTTCTGTCTACAAAATGCACTGATGTAAATCAAGGTAGATTCTTTCTTAGAAATAATATTTCACCTAATCGCAAAGGGTCGGTTACTGTTGAGTTTTCTTTTTGTCACCACCTCGTTCTGGCACCAGTTGAGACCATAGGAATTCTTTGCAATTCCTGCGCTGGTGCTCTGGGTCTGAGACCCACAGTTACCATAGTAACAAGTGTAGCTGTTCTGGTAGCAGAAGTACGTGGCTTGCTTGTTGCGAAGTTCCACCTGCAAAGACATCAGTCTGATTAAGACACTGTAAAAGAATCCCTCTCCACCACTGACATTATCAGATTTGGAGGATGGACATTATCAAACCTGAGACTCTCTTGAAACCCAAAGTTTCATCTTACCTCGTAAGTCCCGTGTGACTTGGTTCCTTTTGGGGTGAAAGTCACTGATCCTCCATAATATCTGTAGTAAGGATACGTGGCCCATGCAGATGCAGCTGAGGCCAGAAGCAACAGATGCAGCAGCAGCAGTGTGAGAGAAGCCATCTTGCTGAGTGGTGCTCAACACGAGTGGTGTATCTTAAGTATTCTGCTACAAGGAAATAAAGGAATTTTTTTTTTTTAAATCTACCTCATTTACTGATAGTACAAAGCATGGGGTACAACTGGTTTCACCACCTTCTATATATACAGGTTACCAGGAACACTACAGCTCTCCTTTGTTCTTTAATTGAATACAATACCAGCTATTGAAAACTGGTAGAACTGCCTTCCCTTTTTATTGCTTTCAGTGATGTGAGAATGTGCCACATAATCCAAATGAAATAACATCCTATCTTACAGGGCAACACTTAGATGTACACTACTTGCCAAAACCTATAACTCATCCTGTGGGCACCCATAAGTGTAAGCTAGTGTTTAAACAGATATTGAATGACAATATAGTAACATACAGTTGTAATCATTTAAAATGTCCTCATAGTATATTGAAAGTTATACGTATGTGGTTGTAATTACCTACATTAATAAACATCTAAAATGTCCTTATATCATCTTACAACTATATTATAACGTGTTATAAACTATCTATTAAATGTTTAGTGCGCATTAGTGCTAAATGAGGAGGGATTTAAGTAAAGATAGGGTGTTATATTGGATGATTGGACAGTACCGTACTGTATATCTCAGCTGGAAAATATTGCCAGAGCTGCCTCTGCAAGCAGTGATATAAAAGCAGCTCTCCCACAGTCCTGCTGCTGTAAGTGGCTGAAAAAAACCCTTACATTCTTAGTTCTTCTTCATTTACAAACTGCCTCTATGACACCCTGCTAAGACTCTGCTTTAAAGCCAAACGGCCACAAGAGAGAAACAGATCCAGCCTGCCAGAGGACGTCAAGTAGTGGATGGCTCACAGCTATTGGAGATTAAATCAGAATAAATCTTAAATTGTGTTTTAGGGTTGTCTGCCGATGAATGAACGTTATGTATCTCAGTAACACCTTGAAGGAATTTCTTCAAATTTGGCACAAATGGTAATTGTAGTTTAAATGTAAAATCCCCCACACAGGTGGGTTTGTTAACCTTCCAGAAAAGCAGTGGTTTTATCGCATTTGTTTCCCATATTGGCACATGCCGGCTACTACTTGGTGTGTGTATCTGGCATAAATTGAGGCAGTTGATTCTGTATGTTGTATAAACGGATTGCATGTGTTAAACGGTGTTAAAAAAGAGGCCCGAGGCAAAGCAGTGACAACAAGAACTTGAAATGTTGGTTCAGACGAAGAGACAGAAGAAAAGAAAGGTCAAGATTAAATTTACTTTAGTATGAACAAACATCAAGCTACAGACAGGGTTGTGGCTGAGCTAAATCCGTCACTTGGCACTGGGCCGAGTGCCACTTGGTACTGAGCTCATTCTGTCATGTTGAATTCTGTGCCACTGTCAAATCTTGCTATAATAATTTATTCATCTACAAGGAAGTAAACACAATTATTACCGACTGCAGCTACGTAATAATGATTCCATTCCATTGGAAAAAACCCACGTCTTTATTCACCTGCTAGTTTAGAGCAAAACACGTCAGCACTAATGTGTATGCAATGTATATGGATTTGTACTTTCCAAATAATTATGTCTCCTGTCTCCTGTATTTCCAATGGGTACCTCAAGTTTTCCTTAAGATAGAAAACATAGAGAAGTGAAGTGACATGAACACATGACTTAGTCATAGCAGTGCTTTGAACTAAATACATACAAGGCATGCCATAATGCAAAAAATGATTGCTGATTTTTAGCAGGTATATGTTTATACAATGTTAGCTACTTTATTTTAGCATATTAGCATGATAACATTTGCTAATTAGCCCAAAACACAAAGTACAACTGAGGCTGATGGGAATGTCATTAGTTTTACAGGAATTTTGTCATTCATAAACCAAAGTATTGGACATATTGGAAATATATCGTGATGATGGCACTAAATAAGAACCGAGGATGGTTAACGTTATCCCGTGTCTTGGATCATGACAATCCAACACATTTGCTGATTACCAAAATCATGCTTGTGCCACATCCTGGGGAACTTAATTGTGTACTTAATTCTGATCTACTGGCCACGCTATAAGAATACTCAAGAAATAACCAAAGACATTAGGCTTCTTCCTCTGGGTACCATGAATGTCTGTACCAAATTTCATAGCAATCGTTAAAATAGTTGTTGGGGTATTGGGGACCAAAGATGTGGACTGCTGAGAATAAAGGAGAAATTCCAGGCGCCAATCCCTGAACAGGTGCAGCTAAAGACACATGACTTAATCTTAAATCTTGGTATTGTTTGTATTGTTGGTTTTATTGAATTGTAATCATAGTTTGAATTCTGATGAAGGCTGCTGCTGAGCCAAAAGCAACATGTCAGTCTCATACAATGTGCTTGTATTTGAACTCCAGTGAAGTTACAGGAAACATTAATTGTTTCCCCTCCGTCTTTGCACCAGCAGGTTTCCAGTAAGCAGCTCACCTTTGTCAGCAGTAGTGTGCCAGAAAACAGAACAAGTGAACTAACATTACCGCCTAGTCAATAAGATAGCATTATTTTGCACATAAATAACAAAAAGTGAATATGGGGCTCCAGCCCCTGATGTTTTGGCATTTTGCCTATGTTTCACACATGCCACATGTGTCTCACAGCAGAAACAGACAGAGAAAAAACCTGTTTATGTCATACTGACATTATACCAGCAACATCACACTATGGAGTCAATGTCTAGGCTGAATCTGAATATGATACAAACATGAAAAAAAAGAAGTATTTTTAATCATTTTAGCAGCTGCATGTGGACACAGTGGCATCTTGGTGACATTTTCTGTCAAAAATAAATCAGAAATTAATTAATAATGAGGAGAAATCCAACATTCCAGTAAACTGCAAACTGTATGTAGAGTGATAGAGCTGCAGCAGCAGAGAAACAGTCAGTGTGAACACACACGTGATTCTCTGCAGGTCAGTGACGTCAGCCGCCACGCTCACGCAACACAGGCAGTGTGATCCAAGCATAATAACTCTTGTGAAAACCTGTATAAAAAGATAATGTTCATAGGAGAAATGTTTGTTGAACCTCTGAACCCGGATCACTGCCACAGACTGCTGCATTCATGCTGCGGACAGTGCACACCCACCTTTTGCTGTCTTGTTCCTCGGTCATGTAAGGTGAAATGATAGGCTGCATTCTTACTTAAGTCAGAGATATCAGTGCATTATCTGTACCTTTGTCACATTCTTGCTTGTCACGGTCACATCCCATGAAAATGTTCAGCTGTGGGAAGCAGCCCATCCTTGAGTAAAGGCTGCTGGACTATCTAGCTTAACCTGATTCCACCGCGATCCAACTCTGTATAAGTGATAGATAATAGATGGATGGATGATTGTTAGATGCTTGATTGGGCCCCAAGTGTACAAAGAAAACATTTCCCATGCGATTGCATCATCACCACCAGCCTGGACTCTTGACACAAGGCAGGTTGGGTCCATGGGTGCTGGTGATAACAAATTCCTACCCTACCACCATCAATCATAACACAGTCAAAGTCTCTGATCACATTTTGTCCTCATTGTGATGGTTTATGTAATCATTATCTGAAGCTCCTGATCTGTATCTGCAGGATTTTATGCATTGCACTGAAAAAAATCCAAAACCTAGGCAAACACTGGGAACTAAGGAGGAAAACGGTAGCAAAAACTGAAAAGCCAAAACCTCTAGGAACAACAGGAGGAAAAGACCAGAGCAACTTCAAAAATCCAAAATAGCGCAAACAGAAGAACCACAGAATACAGGACAAACTGACAAAGACAAAGGGGAGCACAGAGACTAAATAGACACAAGGGAGGCAAAAGTAATTGAACGCAGGTAAAACACATTAGGGCGGGGCAGACAATCAACATGGAGGGAAACAGGACAAAGACAGGAAGTAAATTAACCACAAGACACACAAGGAAAGTAATGGAAAATAAAACAGGAAATGAAACAAATGTCCAAACAAGTCCAGAAAGTGTTCAAACATTTTGTCCATTAATTGTCCATCCCTGCAAACAATGACAAAAATAGCCTCATTTCAATGAATGAACAAGTCCTATCCAATCCTGTCCAGTCTCTATCTGTCTCAAATTGTAACCAATAATAAAGGCCAATAAATATGCAAACCAAAATTGTGTAGAAGGAAACACACAAGCTGTGTCCGAATTCAGGGGCTGTATCCTTCGGAGGCTGCAATTGAAGACTGATTGCGGCTCAGCAGCACAACTAGAATGTCCCAAGTCCTTATCTTCAGCCCCACAGACAACTCAACGTTATCTGATGTCTGGTTTAAAATCTGATAAACAAATCAGCTCAGTTGTCAGCTCTGGCTTCTTTCATTGTAGATCACTTGGAAATTTAGAATCACTCCTGTCTGTTTAAGATCTGGAGACTCAACGACATGGAAGACATAAATCCTGTGAGTTTAGAGTCAGTCATGAACTGTGCAAAATTCCATGACTCATGACTAAGGCCCAATCCCAATCCAGCCCCTACACCCTCCTCCTATCCACTCTCACTCTGTGCATTTGTGTGGAAGGTCCTCCACATTAAGCGTCATCCCAAACCAATTACCCTTAATTGGGAGTGGGTTATTAAACACCAAGTCTGTATCAGTGGAGGCTGACAAATCACACTCTGAGAGAAGTGCAGCATCGCTTTGAGTCAGGGATGGATGAAATGCCACAAACCTACAAATATGAGTCCCATGCGGTTATTTTCCAAATGATAAGTAATAGGTCGCCTCACCTCAAACAGACATTTCATGAACTATTTTCAGGCCCACATGACGAGATTAGAGCTTGCATTGTATTTTGGAATGAACATGCTGTTGTGTACCAGAGAAAACGGTGCATGTGTTTTTTTATTTGATTCAATGCCTGTATTGTATGATTATCAGAAACTATGGAAAAAAAAACCAAGGATATAATCAGATAAAGATGTGTCAATTAAAAATGTTCAACAAAAAAGAAATGTGGCCACACAAGCATGGGAGTGAGGTTTTATTTATTCAATTAGTAAATTTCCTTTCACAAGCATCATATGTGCCATGATTGTCATGACGTCATGTCATCCTAAATCTTTGTCAATGCTGTGCAGAAGATTATCTTTTAAATAAATATGTATTTCATTTGAATATCATTTCTGAAATATTTTGGGTAAAACCAAATTTCCTGTTTCCATCAGGGAAAGGTGGGGGTGTCCAAGAGCGTGTCAGTGTATTTATACCCTCCCTTTTAATCAGGAGACCCTCCACAGCCGAGTGTGACTCTACACTCCACAGAAATAATAAAAAATAATCAGTTCTTCTTTGAAGCATTTTTTAATTTTTAATCATAAATATAACATTTTAATATCAAACCGAGACTCAGCCCTTTCAGCTATCACCTGGAGTTGCCAGTTTCTTCCGCAGCGACTGAGTTCAGACTGAAGCTGTGATCAACACCTGATCTTCTGTGCTGATCCTCGTTCTTGGCCTCTTCATCAAAACCAAACACACGGTGTAACACACAGAGTGTGAGTTGGTATCACACCCAGATGGTTTGACATGTCTTTAAATATACAGACTGATGACACAGCATCTAAATCTCTGGTCACAATAAAGGTTTGTAAAAACAAGGATTAGACAAGCCTATATTTTATTACCAATTATGACTGCATTAGAAACACCCAGGTTACAGGTTACAGGTTATAGGTTAGTGCACTGTTAACAAAGCCAAACACAAAAGGCCCAAATCCTCAGCTATTACTGTCCATCTTACCTAGCAAACCCCTGAAGATAATTGCTGGGTATGTGTTTGCAAAACAAAACAACAAAAATCCTGCAAGACCAGACTGAGTGGAATTTTGTTTTCATAACAGTAGAAATTCTCTGGCTAGTCTGAAACCAGTTATTGTAAGTGGAGGTGAGGTATTGGAACAATCACAAATAGAAACCAAAACATTTTCAGAAGAGCATCCATTGGTTTCTTTGTGTATGGTGCAATACACCAACTATGTACTTCATTATTTTTATGGCTTGTGCCTTTGGACAAGTGTAGAGAGACAGAGACAGTGATGATCCAGGAATGCATTACACATCTTAGACCACCCTCCCACCAACCTGGAACATCCCATCAGGAGGATTATGATGAGCCTCAAAAGAAAATCTCTTTAAAGGACAAGTTCACAATTGTTAATATGAACAATGAAGCAGGTTTTGCTTGCTGTAATCATTACTCCTGTTCATACTAGCCATTAAAATAATCCTCAGAAGACAGGCTCTGAGCGTCCCTTTTAATTGGCTGACTAATAATGCCTTATAATCAAAAAAGACATGGAAAACTACCTTTATACAATATGGGACCTTTAATGGCAGGTACAAACAGGAGGAGTGGTCAGTGAATGTGAGTATTATTTGAAGACAGACCTCTAAAAAAATGCCCACCACTCCTTTAATAATGAACAACCAAAATACTGTGTAAAACTGAGATTAGCTGGGTTTAGTTCTCCAAGTCTGAATCTATAAGAGCATTGCGGTCTTCTTCTTTTCTCTTCTTGCTGAAGTAACAAACAATCACAGCCATGAACACCACTGATACTAGGAAGGCGCAGGCGAAGACCGCAGTGCTGATGTTGCTGTTTAGGACCTGCTTGATGTTCCAACCTCCTTCACTTGATTTGGTGTCTGGAGAAACTGGGGGAGGACTCACTGTAAGACAATACAACCGTTTTTAAAATAGATAGATAGATAGATAGATAGATAGATAGATAGATAGATAGATAGATAGATAGATAGATAGAGCATCATATAATAACCTGAAAGGCGCTCCTCACTCTTTTTCATCACAACATTATCATGATCGGCTGCTTTGGGAACAGCTGGCCCGACAAACTGCAAAGGACCCTGGGTAATTTCGTGGCTGACCGTCTCCCTGCCCAGCCCTCGCCTGCGTCTGCGGGATGGATTCTTCAGACAGCCCTGGGCACATCTGGAAAAGGGACTGTCAGGCTTGCACAGGATGACGGAGCAGGTGATGTACACCTGTAAGGCGGGAAAGTGAGAGTTTTTAGTTCAGAAGGGAACAAGTGATGCTTTTAATGGGAGGGAACATGGTCATGTTGTGCATCAATTTGCCGTTGCTGTTGTTTGCATGTTGTTTTACAAAATTCAGAGTTCAGGCTGTTTTTGATCCCATATCGTCTGCTCCTTGGTGTACTGGCTGACATTTGTGTGCAACTGAAGTGCATCAGCAAAGTGTAGGGAATGTATGTTTTTGTCTTAGTTTATTTTAGTTTTTTTTTAATGAATGAATGAAACACTATATTAACTAAAGGCAGTAGTGTTGTGGCAGGTATACAAAGGGCACGACTGTCACACCAGAGACCAGGATTGCAGTCCCATCTGTCAAGTCCAGTCTAGTCACTTTTTAATTATGTAGTGTTAAATCAGAACAGAAGTTATTTCAAGGCACTTTTCCAGATTTACCTGGTCATAGTTTCCGGTAAATTTGAAGGCTTGAACCTCAAAGTTGAACGAAGTCTGGTTAGATGGGTGGACTTGAACCGTCTCATCTTCTAGACACCTGTGAGACACCGTTTACGAAAGTCTGTTACTGTCCTCCATGATGATTAACTTAAACATTTTCAAATAAAAAGGCAAAAGCATTTTTGATTGTGATCTCAGAAAGCGTCAGTACTCACCCGTTCTTGATGATGTCATAGGAGAGGATGTTTTCAGGGTTGTCGTCAGGAGTGGCTTTGCATGATTCCACAAACAGCTTCACGTTTGGAAGCTCAGATTTAGCTTCAATGCCCATGAAGATCTTCTGCAGCAGTTTGACCTCCACTGGATAGGCGCTGGCGTCCACTTTATTTGTGAAGTTGCCATCACGGTATATCTCAAACGTATAGCCGAAGCTGCCAAAGCTGGACTCAGTGAAAATGTAGTCTGACTTGTGGAGGTTGTAGAAACTGGAGATACTGATGGCTTTGGGAAACTTGCAAGAGAAACCGATCTTCACTGTCCTCCTCCTGGTTATAATCTCGTTGGGCAACTCGAAGGAGTTGATCTCATTCTTGAAAACGATGAAGTCGCCTTTATCCTTTATTTACCACAAACAGAAGTTGGAGAAAAGCCATGAATAGCTGAGACAGAAACAAACACACAAGATGAATTCTTTTATCTGCTTTTCAATGTGTTTTACAGCTACACTGTTCTTCTCATTGACATCTGCACTTGGTTTTCCTGCTACAACCAATGAGATCTTATTTGGATTTTTGTATAAAAATGTAAATGTTGTTCTACACCTCAACTTTGGTGCCACAGGTGCTGAACGACATGCTGCCCGTGATGTGAGTGTTGTTGGAGGTGAGAGAGCAGGACGGGTCGCTCAGCTTCAGGAAGTTCTCGTCGATGTCCGGCATGGAGGCTTTGTCGAGGGCCACCTTCATCTTATTGGGGGAGCATTCAACAGTCGCCTTGCCTTTAAATCACACGCCATAATAACTCCTTATCATTAAGGGCAATATAGTTTCAGAATATTAATACACATTCATGTTCAAACTTAACTTGTACACATTGCATTGTATTATGTTAGGATTATGAGAATTCCCCATACACGTAATGTTAAACTTCAAACAGAAAGTAAAAAAAAGTGTTAAATCTTGCTTAAAATAGTTTTAACATAAAGTTTGAATTCCTTGAAAATAACTTTTATCGAGTGTTAACTGTCTGAACTCTGCGACTAAGTTCGCAATTTTTTATGGCATAGATCACTGATGATAAACAGACCTTGAATGATAGATGCTTGGGTCACCATGACAACAACACACCTCATCTCTGACTGGCTGAATGACAAAAGTAAGAAAATATGTTTCAGTGCAAAAATGCAAGATGAACAATGAAAATAATTATATCTATGTTACTAATAACACCTGGTGCAGCAATTCAGTAAATGATTCAATGCTTTACCAGACATGTTTTTTCATTATTTAACTCTAACGGAAGAGATTTTAAACATTTTAACTGTAAGATCAAAGAGGTTTGACGTAAATCTTAGTTTGAGTTTTTGTTTGTTTGCATGCGTATGCAAAAAGGCTGCAAGAAACCAGAAAAATAGCAATAAGCAGGAAATTTATCATGTGCACTTTTCCAGTAGATGTAGATAAAAACACTCACGATTCATTTGTCTCTGCAGTGAAGCAGACTGGGACAAATCTGTACAGATCGCTCTGCTGTGGTGTCCAGCTCACAGTGACTTCAGCTATTCCTGAATTAGCATCTCTGAACACTTTGCTCATATTCTGAGGGCCGCTGACCTGGAAGTCGTATATGCTTCAGGAAAATGGAGGCAGAGAGGAAGAAACCTGAATTAATGACCCTCCTTTGACATGAAAGGTCTCCTTGTTTTCTTTTTTCAGTCAGAGATGATGGGTTTTCAGTTGCAAGTACCTGGCATGGTGAGCCTGAGCTTGGGCATAAAGCTGGAACGTCTGACCCACGGTGGCATGAAGAACATCACCATGTGAAGGAGTCTTTGATAAGAACATGGGCTGCACGTGACCAGCTTCACACCTCTGTATTGGAGGAAGGACTGAAACATAGACACAAGAGGCTATCAAGACAGGAAAAACTTTTTTTCTTTTAAACATTTGTGGTTTGTAGTCTTTGGTTGGGCATCATCGTCTCGTCTCTAGAAAAAGTGTCACATCAACTTAATCCTTTGCCTTAATATCCATTGAGTTAGCTTAGCTTAACTCCAGGTTAAAGTTACAAATGTGAGAAAAACCATCAAGTCAATGAAGCCAGTATTTTCAGAAAAGTAATATCAAGTGAATAAAGTAATCAATTTGAAAACAGGGTATAATATAATGAGAAAGAAAGTGTGACTTAGACGGACAAAATGTTGTGACATTATGGAAATAAAATCATGATATTTTGAGAAAAGGTTGTTACTTTACATTACCAAGTAAAGTTGTTGGTCTCATCAAAATGTGACAAAAAAAGTTTTCTCTTAAATTAGAACTTTTTTTTAATCATAACTTATCATAACCTTTTATCTAATATAATTACAACTTTATTCTAGTAATATTATATCTTGTAGGTTTAACATTGTAAAGTCTGACAATGTTAAAAGGAGCAAGACATTTCTAGAATTCCCCTTTAACTTCTGTTTTATTGTGTTCAGGTCAAACCAAGTTTTCTTAAGTCAGACAATCGGCCCATTTGTGTCACTTCATTGAAGGTAAATTTTATGGACTGTGTGTTTGTGTCACTTACCCTCCACTGAGAACTGGAGCTTGACTTTGCAGAGAGGTGGTAAGTTTGTGTCGGACACTTGCCGAGATGCCGATGTTCCATCTGCATAGGTCAAAGTGATGTTTGTGGCAGAGAAGTCCTCCAGCATCACCTCAAACACCTGCACACCAACACTGATTTGACCTGTACTCGTCAGTGTGCATGTAGTCTGGAAAGACACCATGAGTTAATAAAGATGATTAAAATGATTAGTATTAAATTAAAACATTTGTAAAACTAATAAACCATCAGAAGAATATTTTTTTTAAACTACATTTTATAAAATAAGGTCTATACATGCTGTAAATGTGTAACCATGACACCGAGTATAATGAGAACATGCACAATTAAGATTCCTATATTTAACTAAAGTGAAACATAATTTATGAAAACATAATATTAGGCTACTATTTCACAGTTTAGCATGCTTGAATGTTTGATCATCGCAGCCCCTGTCGGTCTGTGATCGTGTATTTACATTGTCCAGAGTGAAGTTCGAGGGAACTGGAGCGTCTGAACTGAAGCGGCATCTCACGTTATCTCCATCTGGATCATGGGCCAGAAGACGAATCCTTGAAAAACAGTTCTGAGGCACCCTGTGTGAAAACACAAACAGTTTAATAATCATATTAAAACAGTCTTCAGTTAAGTAGTTTCGTAAAAAAATAAATAAATAAATCACTTCAAATTCATCACTTGATGTATTGGCTTATTTTGGCTTTTTTGTGTGTTTGTTTCTTAGTTTTTTCCTTAAGGAACTATTTAAGGAAGAAGAATTACAAAACAAAATGTAGGAGAATTATAAGGCCAGAGACATATGATCTGATATCAACCGGTTGGACGCCAATAGGAGTTCAAGAGCCAGTGTGGGAACAATAACAAAAGATATGGTCAGGAAGTTAACTGAGCAGGCTAAGATACTTAGGTTTGGTGGGAAACATCTGGAAATAGGATATTGGGTAAATAGGAATAGATATAACGCCAAGGCACACTGCCAATAAGAGAACGATGACCTGGGAGGGTGTCATGGTGTGCTCTTCTGGCAGAACACCATGACATCCTCCCAGGTCATCGTCATCTAACCTCTATTTTCACATATGATCTGCAATTTACTGTTACGTTACTGTTTGACACATTTAAGCCACATTTTGATCAGAAAACAAAAACAAACAAAAGAACAGAATAACCCTGTCTGAATTGTTCATTCAAATGTAAATAAAAAAAGAGACAAAAAGGAAAAAAAGAAAGCTCTGACAGATACAAAATATATCTTACTGATGTTGTTTGTGCTCTATACCTGCAGAGCTCTGTCATGTAGTTCTCATACAGAAAAGACGAGGCTCGTACCTTAAAGAAGACACAGTTGTTGTCACTGGACAGCTGTTGAGGGCGTGTGAGTCAGATCGAGTTCCCAGGTCCAACTCTGCATGAGTCGTCCAGTTTGTTTTCCCGTTGACATTAGACGCCCAACAGCAGCCTGTGCCCCTAAACAGAAGGAGGTGGAAGGTGTTATCACTCATAAATACATTTACACCCTCACGCCCACATCCCCGTGCCAGCTGGGAGCCGACAAAGATGGAGCCGCATCACCGAGCTCAAGATCAGTTTCTATCACACCTACATTCTATTCCATCTGGTCACATGTTTTTGTCACGTCATAACTCAAGAATTCATTCACTAATTATAGCACAATTTATCTCATATGTCTAACAGGATAAAATGATGGAAGTGATTACATTTTATTTCCAAAAGGTCAAAGGTCAACTTCACTGTGACATCACACTGTTCTGCATAAACACCTCTGGTCATTATTCAACAATGTAACTGAGATGGGGATCTCCTACACTTGGCTGGTTGGTGGAGGGATATGACCACAAGGTGGCGATTCTACTTTTTTCTTACTCTTCAGTGTTCTTTGTGCTTTTCTTTAAAAACACTGAATGCTTTCACTTCTTCAGGCATCTACAAATCCTTAAAATGAACTGAGGCTGAGGAGAAAAATCTGTTTTTGGTTGAACCACTTACAATTTAAAAACGGTCATTTCTGCCTCATGCAAAATTGTTATATAAATAATTTGCTATTCAGATAATTACAATACTGCTGTTTTTTTCTTCAGATATTATTATTATTATTATTGTTGTTGTTGTTGTTGTTGTGAAATTTGCTTAGAAATTTGCCTTGCTATCATTTTATTGTCCTATTTTCAGTCTTTTATGTTTTTTTCTATCTGTGAAAGTACTTTGTAATTTTATTTTGAAAAGTCCTGTACAAATAAGAGTTAATTCTAATGCTACCATACTACACCGATCAACAACGCTCTGCCACACCTGCAGAGCTTTCTGATGTAATTTTGTCTTCAGCCTATGAGGGCCACCACAACTACATTCAGGCTACACTCTAAGATGAAAACACAACAGATGTCTGTAGAGCCTGATGCCAGAAAAGGTTAGTTCCTGTGACATACCTCAGAGAAAAGGAGGTTTTATTCGTTGACACGGTTGCTGTTGTGTGCCCTTCAGACTGGCACCATCTGCCTGTGTCATCCTGATCCGTTTGCAGGACGTTCGACTTATCAAAGCTCGTGCAGACCCCTCCCTCACATGTGAAGGACGACTGGTCTTGACAGCTGCTCCTTCCATTTTGTCTGTGATAGAAGGTTACCTACACTTTGGGAGAGTGCAGTATTGATACTGTGCAGAAAGAGTAACTTCAAGTTTTCCTCAGAAAACAGGGTGAAAAACAACATCCATGTTTGTTTAGTCAACCCAATCAATCTGGGTTTTTTTTTAACAAATTCGTCAGTGCTGTTTGTAAAAAATTCAAAAAGCTTTGTAGAAGCAAGTCCATAAATATTTTGTAGATGACAGTCATGCAGGTGTTTCAGCGCTTACTACGTGGCTGCATGGTTTCTTAAATCAGTAAACTTGGTAAACTACAGACTTTTCTGCCTTTTCTGACTTTTCAGATTCAGTTTACTTCAGCAAATATGTTTTCTTCCAAACAGCATAAGTTGATTATGAAATCATTTTTGAAAAGGTAGGCTTATCAATTGCTTTCTCTGGCAGTTCTCTTTTATAAAAAATTTCAAAAATATGAAAATTTATAGACGGTAATGATAAAATTACTGTACCCTAAATGTCCCATTGTTCTTCTTCTGTGGAGGCATGAAACTGATGCTGTCTCCATAAAAGCTTTGAGCCAAAGCAGTCCCCAATAATGCGGACAGCAGCAGGAAAAGTGCACCTGCCTCCATGATGTCTAACCGAATCTGTTCATGCAAAAGCTTGCTCAGTCAGTTCCAGTGTCACAATTGGTAGTTCCTTTGAAATTCACTCAACAGGTCTAACCAGATCTGCACCAAACTGAAATTTCAGTTCACAATCAGTGATGAAAACAGGTTACATGTTGCAGGACAATAGGGAATTTTTTTGGTATGAACTTTCATCCACTGGTTTGGGTTACATTTGTCAGATCATGTGATCAAAATTAGTAAAGCAAAAATTGTCTGATCTCTTCTTCTAGACAACAAACCCTTAAGACCAAATTATCTACAAAAAGAAAACCATTTCAGTGGGCAAATTACAAAGGACAACAATCAAGCCAATGTACTACTTGATCACATATGTAAGTTTTTTAAGCATCAATTTAGAGAAAAATATATTTGTGTTGAAACAATATCTGCATCTATTGCATTTATTATTCTATATAAAATGTGCAAGAGGTGAGAAATGATTCTTCAAGATGAAAGGCAAACAACTGGGATTTTGCTAATATTATAATTACACATTAGGGGAAAAAATTACACCACCAAGGTTAGGCTAGATAGAATATAGAGATGGATGATTAATTCAAAAATGGTTCAATCCAATTTATACATTGGCTCTGACAGTTCAACACACTGCAATTTACAAAAACACATGCAAACAGATAAAACACAAGCAAATAAAAAAACAACTTCAGCAATTTGACAACACGTGCTCAGTATTTAGAAATAATGCTGCAAAATGAGAAAATACAACCAAATCCAAAAAATCCAAAAAGAAAAAACAGGAAAAAACTATGGTGAAACAAGTTATATTTTGGTGTATTTTCTATTTTTGGTTGTGAAGATATCTACTTAATTTGCTGGTGTTTTACCTATATCCATGTGTCTTCCTAAATTGTATTGATGTATTGAGTACATAAATGTATTGAGCCCTGGGGGCCACTGTAAATTGACTTTAAATTCCCATTGGGAATAGAGGAGTTTAGAAAATTTAGCCCATAGTAATTCATAATGAGATTTCTTAATAGCCTTAGCCTTTTGATTGGACCTAACTAATCTTTCCATTTCATCCAATTAAGGGCCTAATGCTAATTGGTTGAGCTTTGAAAATAGTCAGACCAGGTGTGCAAGGAGTAAAAATGGAAAAAAAAATATTTTGGAAACATGGTAAATGTTCTGTTGCCTGTGAGGCAATTATTTCGGGTAAACGAATAACGTGTGTTCAACGGCGACTGTCATTAAAGATTTTCGCTTTCGTCAGATTTTGGGCAAACGATGACCCGTAGTTACGTCAGTTTGTGGAAATTGTCAGAGGGACAAGATGGCTACGGAACCAAATAAGACTGAAATCCTCACCATTTTCAAAAGATTAAGATCTATTCCGACAAACAAGGTAACCGAATAAGACGCTGCTGCTATCGGTGTATCATCCTTTAAGCCTGTTCTTTATTGGCAGTTCGTCGATTATTTCGATCTGTCCTGTAAAAAGCGGTTAGCTCGCTGGCTAACTGTTATCTAGTTAGGCCCGGCTACACGGTCGGAAAACTAACGGGAGCTAACGCTGCTAGCCTGCCGGTAAAGCAGTCAAACATAAAGGCCACGTATACGATTTGTGTTCGCCGCGGTGGCTAAGCAGTTGGTTAAGATTCGCTAGGCTTCAGAAACGACAGAAGAATTGATTAACTGGTTAGAAGAAACGTCAGCTATATCCAAAACATGGCATTTGTAACGTTAATGTACACATTTGTAGTTTTGAGGCATTTGTCGTTAATGTTAAGTTGATATTTGGCAGGATTGTTTCTTGCCTATCAGAGCCTTGGTATCAGTTGTACAGTGATTAATATAATATGTTGTGAGGTGGCTTAAACGAATGTGTATGTTAAATGATTTTTTACACTGTATCGCGTCAGGGTCTGTGGTTTGACACTATGCGCATTAGACTGGCAGCCTCTGTTTTCACCATTAAATCTTTACCTGAGGCCTTAAAAAAAAAAGCAAACCCACAATGATGTATAGGATCCTTCACCTGTCAACATTAGGGTTGCAACTAATGGTTATTTTTCATTATCTGTTAATCTCCCAGTTCATTTCCTGATCGATGTTTAATCTATAACCTGGCTAAAATCAGGAAAATTAGTCAAAAGCGACAACTTTAAATGACTTTTTTGCCTGACCAACAGCCAAAACCTAAAGTTATTCAGTTTACAACGATCCTTACATTGGTGAAGCGTCACTCGTCCTTCACTTGTCCATTTATCTTTGTGAAGTTTAAGTTGTGTGGCCTTTAGTCTTTGTCCCATTACATGACTGCTAGTTAAAGGTTCCTCCGGTTCTTATTGATTTGGCCAGTGAAGTACTTGTACACAATCCTTATTGTTTTCACTGTTCTCGATTTCTGATTTTTTGGGCTTTTTATAGTGGAAACTGACAAAAAGAAAATAGTCACTAAAATATCTTTATAAACTAACTATTAGTGGGTGTATTGTCTGTGAGACTCTATGGTGCATTTGTAGTTACCCTGATGTGGGTTGGTACTTGAGCATTTTCTTTTTGATTTACATTAATTATAATATAGCAGTGGAGGTTAAGCGTTTTGCTGTTATGTCTGTCCTACAGAACAGAGTAGGTAACCCTCCTCTATTGATCTTCAATAGGCTTCTCTCTTTTTTGGTTGTTTTGTGGAGTTATTTATTATCTACATAAAGGATGAATGGTGTTTTGTGTTGCTCAGATTGTGAAAAGTCATCTAAGACTAACTTGTGACTGTCAGCTATGTATTTTGTAATTCTGTTATGCAATAAAAAATCAATAGTGCCACAGTTGAGATATGCAACAAAGGTTCCTGGCCAGGTTCCTGCATCTTAAACACTGGTTGTGTTGCTTATAGATGTCATTAAAAATGTAAATGTAAAAATAGTTAACTCTGCCAAGGAGATTATGTTTTCTGTTTATTTGTCAGCAGGACTATGCAAAAAGTAGTGAACCAATTTGCACCAAACTTGGGGGAGGGATAGGGCATGAACCCATTAAATTTTGAAACAGATCCAGAAAACGAACTATGAATTTGAATTTTTTCTGGTGTATGTTGTTTGACATTGGGCTTGGGGGAGGTCTTCACTCTCTGAGTGCCCTTCTAGTTTTCAAATGTTTTGTTCTTTGCAGGTATGTTTTGACTGCGCAGCAAAAAACCCCAGCTGGGCGAGTATTCCCTATGGTGTGTTCTTATGCATTGACTGCTCTGGCATCCACCGCTCACTGGGAGTGCATCTCAGCTTCATCAGGTAGACTCAACAATGAACATAGCTGTCAACAGATAAAACCCATACTTCTCTAACAATTCTAGTCAACGGTTGAGTAGTCTCTCAGAAAAGAATGCTTGTCACTTTAATTGCTGGGTACAGTGAAGATGTCTGTGCTGCCGTCACTGGTCAGAAGAATGTAGTTTTGTCTTTCGACCACAGTTTGTGAATGACTTATCAATGGACACTTAAGCTGACTTTATACTCTGTCCAAACCGCTTGTTGGATGGTCAGATAGCTTCAGCAACCCCACCACCACCACACTTCTCCAGTGTTAGATCAGAGGAGTCTTTCTGTAACTTTGTGAAATAAAAGATCCAACATTGACACACACTTCATGCAGTGATTGGCCAGCTGTGTGGAAGTGAGAAAGGAGCCAGGGTCTGTACTTCTCTCTCAGCTCGGTTTTCCTTTTGTTACACAACTAATGATGGCATTTGTCATTTGTAAAAACAAGTGCAGCACTATCATTGTTTCCCTCGACTTCTCACTCCCACCTTCCAGTGTGGATGTTCAGACAACACATTGTACAAAATAGTTCTGACTGGGTTTAAACTGACTGACCTGCAGTGCCATGATCATGTGCACCTGTCATACTGGAGGGCTGACTTTCCATATTCCCCCCTTTTTCCCTCAGATCCACTGAGTTAGACTCCAACTGGAACTGGTTTCAGCTTAGATGTATGCAGGTGGGAGGCAATGCCAATGCGGTAAGTCGGACCAAGCCCCTAAGTAAAATCACTTAGGATCTTAAATGTGAATGACCCATGTTCCAGGAAGTGTTATTACCTGTAATTAAGAAACTCCTTTTCTCCTCCTATCTGAAGACTGCATTCTTCCGCCAGCATGGCTGCTCTACAAATGACACCAATGCCAAGTACAATAGTCGTGCAGCCCAGATGTACAGGGAGAAGATTCGGCAACAAGCAAATGCCGCGTTGTCCAAATATGGCACAGATGTGAGTATAAATGAAGTGGAAACAGTTCTTGGAATTTATCATATCTTGTAGCCCAAGTCACAACAGATAGATCATTTCTTTATGGCACAGGAGTCAGGAGTAGACAGGCTGTATCCTGGGCTTTGTTGGTAAAGCTCCAATGCTGGTTACTTGTTTTGTTTATTATATGCTTCCAGGTAGGCAATAATATTGTACATTGCGATATTTAGGCTGCTCTGTACCAGTCCTGCCTCTCAAATAAAACATAAAAGGCTGAAATAATCTTGTGAGCACATTAATTTTGTTTTGTTAGTGTTAGTGTTAGAAGTTTGTAACTTTTATGATCCAAGATGTTTCAAATCAAGTGAAATATTTACATCTATTATGTCATTTTTTGTGTTTCTTAGTTTGCTTCACTGATCTGATCTCTGGTCCAGCTCCTGTCACTGTTAGCTAACAGCTACACACAGTGTGACTGAGTCACTGTTTTGATTTTAATTTTACACCCCACAGGTACAACTCACTCAGTGATAATAACTGAAATTGCCTGGTGCCCTGTGGATCACTGACATATTACATAATAGTGATTATCAGAGTCTGAGCCACATTAGCAGAACTAGTTCAGAGTCCACAGGGTGTGTGCTAATGACAGTATATGATGATCACATCAATGGCAATATACCAAAAAAGTAAAAGTCAGAATTTTAAACTTCCTGTGTGACTATTAGTCATTGAAGTTCGTGTCTCTAAGTGAAACTAAACACTCTTCCTCTCCTCATCGCAGCTATGGATTGACTCTTCTGGAGGAAGCACTACCACAGCCCCTGAGAAGAAAGAGACAGACTTTTTTGCCGAACATACACAGGTTTGTTTTTCTGCAAAATCACAGCCTGCGACCATCTTCAGTACGTAGGTCTGTGATAGAAAATGTTTGCTACATGCCAGGGAAGGGAATATGTCATTTTCAGTACAGGAATATTTTCATTTTTCTATTATTTCCACAAGAACCTATTGGATATTGGATTTTTTTGAGACTGATGCTGTACAGTTTTTTGAGGTAAAATATTTTGTTATATTTCAATATAACACAAACAACATTTTTATAAATATCTTTTTAATTTGATTATTAAACAACTGTGACCAAGATATGACTGAGCTGGACATTTTCCAAAAATGTGACACTAATGACGAATTTAACAATAAGTTTGAAATTATAAACTACACTGGGATCTAAATTACTATCAATAATGACATTTAACAACAACATAAATATAAAAAAACATATTTTAAAGTTGAGATAAGAAAAATACGAGTGAACTATATAATAATGCAGCCTGAAAATGGTTATGAAAAATCTAAACGGTAATATAAAAAAATATAATAACAAAAATAATAATGTGATAAAAAGGATGCTGTTTCGTGAATTTCTTTTCACTTAATTGAAAGTACAAATACCCATTTAATTTGTTTCCCAGCCTGCTAACGACTGGAGCATGGCGCCGTCCTCTGAGCAAGAGCAGAATGGAGCCACTGTCACCCCACAGCTGACGGACACAGCACCCAAAGGCCAGGATGACAACCGTTAGTATAACAAACCCATCTGTTGCCAAATGTGTTTCACTCATTATGAAAAGTGGCTCTTTGAAGATTTTGAAAATAAGTCAGTCAGTTTACACGTAATAATAAGCACTGTCAGCCTGTGAAGTCAATTGTGTAATGTCTGTTGTGGCTCTGAAAGAAGCTTTCCAAAGTCTCAGAAGATGACCCTGATGATGTCATAGTGATGTCATCAGGGTTATGTTGGCCTCGGCTGAGGGACTACATATTTTTAACAGATAGTCTGTGTTGCTGGACATGAGTGTTCAGTAGGCAGAGAGAGCCTGATGTCAGGATGCTGTTGGTTGCAACATTGGAAATGTGGGATTGAGGAGATGTCAGTATCTGGCCTCTCATAAATCTGTAGTTCTGGAAGGGTTTTTTGTTGAGCATTAGATTTACATATTCTGCTCTGACTGCCGCTATTTTGTTGAAGTTCCTTTCCGTAGTGAAGTCATAAACAACTCTGTGTTTCTGTTTCTGCTGGAATCAAGATGATGGCAGTTGACTCTCTCCTGACTTGCATTGTGTCATAAAGTTAAGTGGCCCTAACTTTCGCTTGTAGTGTAGCTGGGGGCTTTTTGACTCTGTCACGCTCAGCGGGGGCCTGCAGGGCTCCAAAGCCAGGTGTCTTTCACAATGAACAGCAGCTGTTACTGTGGCAGCTTTTTGTGTGAACACATAGTTATACTAAATCACTGGGGTGCCACTTTAAAATTTCAGTGAATTGAAATGGCTTCACCGGTTCAGGCTTTGAATGAGGGAGATTTTGCTGCACATCATACAGCATCAGCTGGAGATGACACAATTTAGACAGTCCAACAAACTGTGGAATGAAAATTGAAAATCTTTTGTTTTATTATTATTACAAATGCTTGATGTCTAATGGTTTTTTTGTTTTTTTTCTCTCTAGAGCCAGAGGAAGGACCGAGCATTGATGGTCTGAGCACATCACCCAAAGCTTCCATTGGTGAGTCTGTTCGCTCTGATTAATGACACGAGCACTTTCCTGCTCTCTCGTGACGTCACCACTGTCATCTGTAATTCCCCTCTCACGTCTGACACTTGCTCTCATTCAGTGGTACATACTTGCAACAGTTTCAGACTCAGACTCTGCAGCCTCATCTCTCTCTGTCTATCTCTGTCTCTCTCTGTCTATCTCTCTCTCTCTCTCTGTCTATCTCTCTCTCTGTCTATCTCTCTCTCTCTGTCTATCTCTCTCTGTCTATCTCTCTCTGTCTATCTCTCTCTCTCTCTCTCTCTGTATCTCTCTGTCTATCTCTGTCTCTCTCTGTCTATCTCTCTCTGTCTATCTCTCTCTGTCTATCTCTCTCTCTGTCTATCTCTCTCTGTCTATCTCTGTCTCTCTCTGTCTATCTCTCTCTCTGTCTATCTCTGTCTATCTCTCTCTGTCTATCTCTCTCTGTCTATCTCTCTCTCTCTGTCTATCTCTCTCTCTCTGTCTATCTCTCTCTGTCTATCTCTCTCTGTCTATCTCTCTCTGTCTATCTCTCTCTGTCTATCTCTCTCTCTCTGTCTATCTCTGGATCTCTCTGTCTATCTCTGTCTATCTCTGTCTATCTCTGAATCTCTGTGCTTATCTGTACAAACAATTTTACTTTCTTTTCTACACAGTCAGCACAGTGACTGCAGATTATGGAGTAGTGGTTGTTGCACTGCAGTTTTGGTCAGTCACATACATCTGTGACTTCTTTGCAGGTGCAGGGTTGTAATTAAACAAAATAGCAGCTATTGGACACAATTAACAACAAAAACCATGACCATTTGTGTCTCTTTAGACCTGTGAACATGAATCTTACCTTTTTATTTCCAAGATGCTCTCCGTTAATTAAAATAACACAACTTTGATAATAATACAAAAAGATGCAATACATTGCGCGACACAAAACATGATAAAAATGTATAAATAGGAAAACCACAAACACAGCAGAGGATTCAAAAAAGACAAATCAGAGAGAAACAGCTTTGAGGCAAATCAATTAATAGTAAATGACTAATCTATAAATGTCAAATTTCACAGAGTCTGAGGGGATGTCTTGTGATCATCAAGAACCCGGACACTGAACAACAGCATCAGTGACAAACTGTCCAAGCAGCAGTCTGTGTGTTCATCTAGTCTGAGCTCAAACCTTGTTGATAAAGAGAAAGGTTTGGATTATGGATTTGAATTGTGGTTGTGGTGACTGGTTTGTCTTGTCCTGTAGAGGAGAACATGCGTTTGTCATCACAGGAAGAATGGACACCCAAAGGTGACTGGTGTGAGCATAGCTGCTGTTTGCGCCGGCTGGTTTATGCCTGAGACGCATGGTTGTGTTGCTTGATTGACATCTGCGCAGCTGCCTCCCCTTCTCCATCCTCTGCTTATCACGCACTGGAAGCGGCTCACTTTGCAGAGATTGAGATAGTTGTGTGCAATTTTTCTTGTAAGCTCCTGCTGTCAAACGAGTTTCTCTCTCATGAGGCAAAGTTCAGTGTTTCTCAGCCATAAAACTTGAACAGAGGCTGGTGCATTGTGCAAAACGAGAACAGTCACTGTCGCACTGTCTCACGTACCTGCAGGTAATCAGTGTGTGGATGAGAATTTTGAAACAAGTCGACACTGTGGCATCTCATTGACAAATGGTCTCAAAGGACTGATTCTATTGATAGTAGTTGTCACAATAGATGTGTCCTGAAGAGTCTGTAATTTTAGTTCCTGTCCTTCTCTGTTAATTTTCTCACAGACATACTGACTAGCAGACAGTGGTGTTGTGAGAAGGGGAATGTTTTCATCTTGTGATGCAGAAGATGTGTGGTTCAGCTGTGTTTTTTTTGGGAAACTGAGGATCAAAAGATCAGTTTGAAATACTGTACCTTTGCATCGGCTTCCTTAACAGAGTGTCACGCTTTGTGTTTCTGTAATGAGTCGCAGTTTGGGAATTAACAGTAAAAACCCCACTCTGTGCTGTTTCTCTGCAGTGGGAGCTTTTATCAATATTAGCTTGTTTTCTTGAGCTGGTGTGTTTTTTTTTTTTTTTTTTTTTCTTGCTTTGATTTTATGTCATTAAAAATATCTTGAAGATTTTTTTTTTTTAACAGATTGCCACTTGTGTTTACAGATGTGAAACCTTCCATTATTGGAAAGAAGAAGCCCATGGCTGCCAAAAAAGGGGTGAGTCAAGGGTTAGGGTTATTTGCAATTCGCACCATAAGCAAGCACTTGGCGACAGTGGCAAGGAAACATGTATATTTTCACCTTGTGTTTTGAGAGCTGCCATACAGTACATGATGGTAACTTGGCTCACATGGAACAAGAGAGACAGCAGGAGGCCATTAAAGTACAAAGATATAACTTCACCAGTTTGGTCCACATCTTAAGGATCCCCTCCTAACATATTTAAAGACATTCAAAAACAATCTGCTTTGAATAATACTTGGTGTCTAACATTGTTTTCCACAAAAGAAAAGTTCAGATACCATGAGATAAACTCTTTCTCGCTCATTGAAAAATCCAGACTCTATGAATATGACACAAGATGTGTCCTATTTCACTGTGAAGTCAGTTGTTTGTGTGTGTGATCTTTTCAAATTGTATATTATATATAATATCATATATTAATATATATACTTTTATCCAAAGTAGTTGTGATGCGATAAAATCATGTTTACACGTTAAACTCAGATTTAAGGTGAACACAGACTGTGCGCATACGTCATTCTGCACAGTGAAGCTCAAACATCACAGTCAATAAGTCAATAAGCAAAACACATTGTTGATATGTAACTCTGACTGTGACCTGGAACTAATCTGTGTGCCACATTTTCCCTCGTTAATGCAGCTCGGTGCAAAGAAAGGTCTCGGTGCCCAGAAGGTGAGCAGTAAGAGTTTCTCTGAGGTGGAGAAACAGGCGCAGGTGGCTGAGAAGCTCAGAGAGGAGCAGGCTGCTGAGGCAAAGAAACAAGCCGAGGAATCCATGTGAGGATCGTTTTATCTCTGTTCATTGAGTTTATGTAAACCATTTCATTCTAAGCTTTTCAAATTAAGAAATAAAACGCACTCTTTTGGTACGAGAAAAAGTGTGATACGTCTTCATGTTCGTCCACGTGTGATTTGACGTCGCTCGTTTCGGTGTTTGCAGCGTGGCCTCGATGCGTTTGGCTTACAAAGAGCTGGAGATCGACAGGAAGATGGAGGAAAAGAAGCTTCAGACCATGGAAGGCAAGAAGAGGGAGCAGGCCGAGAGGCTGGGCATGGGCTTTGGAAACAGGAGGTAACATCACAGCATCCTGAGATCAGTGTGTGGGGACGAGTTGTCTCTTTACCTCTGAATAAAACACTGTCATATAGAGGACTAAAGTTTTATTATCAGGAACAGTAATAGTTTCTTAGTACAGGATTGTTTAAATTTGTGTTCTGAAGTTGATGCTTGAGTGATATCACGTCACAAAAGCTGCTTGTTTTTTTATATTCTCCAAATGTGTGTGTGTTTCCTGTTTCAGCGCCGTGTCTCACTCAGTGATGTCAGAGATGCAGGTGATCGAGCAGGAAACCCCTGTGGGAGCAAAGTCCTCCTCTCGCTCCAAACTGGATATGTTTGATGAGCCGGGCTTCACCTCTGGACCCCCGAAGTACAGATGACACTCCTCAAAAAACACCCACTTATTAATTCTTATCTGTCAGTTTCAATTAGTTCATTTGCTTTAACTAAATCCATTGTGGTCGTTGTTTCAGGTATAAGGATAACCCATTTACAGTTGGAGATAGTTTTGGGTCCCGGTGGGACACTGATGGAGGAAGTGCCTCCTTCACCACCTCCTGGGCTCTGGAGAAAGAGGACCCCAAAGAGGAGGTCACCATCTCTAGTATTCAGCCAATTGGGGAGAGGTATCTACACAGATGTTCATGTACACACAAACGTCTTGTCTCAACAGTTGTGTCTACTGTACATGATGCAGCTCTGATGTGTGGTCTTGTGTTTAATCCAGACTTCCCAGCAGAAGAAAAGCCGAGGTATCGGCTCCAGTGTCGGAGTCGAGCGAGGCCAGGCAGAAGTTTGCCAACGCAAAGGCGATCTCTTCTGACATGTTCTTTGGTCGGGAGAGCAGCGCCGAGGTGAGAAACCTCATCTTCACTTCTGTTTAAAACATGAATCAAACTACTACTACTAATCTCAACGTCAAAATATTGACAGCTGTGTATGTAAAACAAATGATGGAACACTTTATTTGTTTAACTATGTGCTGTTATTACCTTGATTTTAACTTCTGTTTCCTCCTCTCTCAGTACGATGCGAAGACAAGACTGGAGAGCATGTCCGGGAGCACCTCCATCAGTTCAGCTGACCTGTTTGGGGATGGCAGTGACCATAAAGGTAAGACCTGTTTATTTGTGTGGGATGTAGAAATTAAAAGAAAACAGGAGTCAAAGTAGCAGCAAGCTTGGCTTAAAGGATAAGACTGGTGTTATTGTGTTTTTCTAAGTGACAAAAGAACACGGTTAGTCCCTGTGTGTGCGATTCAGCTGTAAATTATTTTAAAACAGCTCACAAATATATTGTTTGATTTTTTTTTTTTTATATAGTATCAGTAATTCCCTAAAACAGCTGCTCACCTAAGTTTTTATTTTTTAATCAAACTTTACTCAGACAGGAGGAAACAGTGTATTTGTCGGGGACTATTTTCAGCAGCGGATTAATCCACATTTAGTGCTGTAGTGAGTATTTGGGGTACCAGGACGGTGTGTGTGGCACTGAGTCAAAGTAAACTACAGTGTGTGTGTTCATGGTGATTGAGGAACATCACAACTAATGTGTGTTTTAATAGTTTTTTAACAGTGGAGCAGGAATCAGATACATCAGGCTGTGACACACACACAGTAACTTGACAGTAGGACACCCAGTGTTGGTTTTGTGCTTTCTGTCTCTCTAAGTGAATGTTTATCACTGATTCCCCATTTTTTTATTAGATAGTTTGTGTGCGGCTGAAACACAGGTGAAACCGAAGTGTTATGTATGCCGTTCATTTAAATGTGTGTGAATTTAGGATATTTTTGTACTAATTCCTCTGCTGCTCTCAGGGAGGGCATCAGGCTTTGACAGTGTGCTCCCCTCCGGCCCCGACATTGCACAGTTCAAACAGGGAGTGAAGACTGTAGCAGGCAAGATGGCTGTCCTCGCTAACGGTGTCATGAACACGATCCAGGTGAGACATCAAGTCGAGTCAGTCACAGTGTGTTTCCTGTTTGCTCTCTGTGGCTCCTTGCTTCCCTCAGCTGCGTCTCCACCTCACATCAGCTCTTTCCAGTGGGGATGTGAGAGAGAGAGACGAGAACAGAGAGACTATATTTACCTAAAGAAGACCAGTTCACACAGTCCAGCTTCATTTAGAGGAGATGGCAACTACTCATGACACAAAACATCTTATCTAGTCTATTTGTAGAAAGGTTTTTAGGGAAACCACCTGAGGAAGCATAATCGGCTGAATGGAAAACATCCAACGTCATCTCAAGCTCAGATGTTCGACATTGTTGGAACGTTATTGGCCGCTACACAAATGTTTGTTCATTTTTTGTGTATTTCTAATGTTTTTCTGTATGTTGTCTCAGGATCGTTATGGCTCCTACTGATCGGCCCTGACGACGAGCAGCAGCCTGTGGGAACACACACTAACTAACGTCTGCGTAGAGCCAACCAGCCTCCTGACTGACACGTGCATTTGGGCGGAAGAGATGGGACGAGGGAGAGACGGGGAGCAGAGAGGATTGCATGGGGGAAAAGAAATCGTCCTTCTCGCCCGTCCCTCTTTTAGAGACAATTTTACAGGAGTGAGACTGTATTTTCTTCTCTCATCCTCATTAGCAGACTCTTGAGTTTTATTTTCATAAAGGAAACCATCGAAGGGTGTAGTCTTTTCTAAACCAAGAGTTTTGTTGTAATTTACTGTCGAGAATTTTTTGGTCTTAGATTTTCAAAAAATGGCGTCAGAGTTAATTCTACTATATTTTATTCCTCCTGCATAAATCAAAGTGTTGTTTTTGATTCATATTATCAAATTCATGCTTATGTCTTTTATTTTGTTTTATTGTGATATTAAAAAAAGGTGCAGTATATATTTTCAAATTTTAGCGTTAATTTGAACAAGAATCCACGGTGTTTTGCATTCGGTGTTTGATTCACTGCTGCTCGCTCACAGTAGAGTTTGTCCACAGGTTAGGTTTTTTTATTTACACAAAGCATTGACAGACAATTTCAGACAATTTGTGAGCTTGGACCCACGCACTTCTCTCTGGGTGGAAGTATATACTCTGAAACACTGGAGCATCAGATACATGATGTCCAAGCTGCTGTGGTTATTTATTTTCTATCTATTGGGGGTACAGGGTGCGATACCTCTGGTTTGGCTCATATCCCAGCAAAGTGTTGTGCATTGGAATTGGAGGGATTAAGGGGGCATGAAATTAAAATAGATAAGAGGGTATTGATACAGACATCAGATAGAACATGCTAAGTCCCAGCTCATAAAACAGCGACACTTTTGACTATGCATCTCCATTTTTACAACCGTTTCTTTCATGTTTCTGCCAGTTGAATCTGAAGTCTGCCTCTGTGTACCTCAGCTCTGAAAAAACAAGACGTTTTGTTGGCACTGCCTTTTTCTCTCTCAACAGTTGAACCTTTTATTTTTGGAAGGCTGGTGTCTTGCAGTTTACATGTTTATCTTTTCAGACATTTTGGCCAATGAAAAATATTCCTGACATTCAAGGTGTAGAACATCATAAGGGTTGTGCCTCTAACTGATGATGATGATGATGATGATGATGATGATCTTCAGACAAAATGATGTGTCTTCGGGACAAAGAAGCCTTTCAGTATTTCTCTAACACCGGCCAGGGAGCATGCAAGTGAATCCAACAAAATGCATCTAGTGTGAACCTCTGATAGAACCAGTCTTATTTAACATGGTCACACCCTGTCCATCAGTTTCCTGTTAGTGATGAAGCTCGTCTCAAACCCTCAGTACTGTCACTTTGTTCCCGGCAGACTTGACATTCAACACGTTATTGAAAGGATTGTCCGTGCAGTTGAGGTCTGGATTCCGGTTCGTAATTTTGTTTGAAAGACCAGGGTGTCATATTTTTCCTAGCGTGGCCATGCCTGTGTATGTCCCAACCGTGATAAACTCTCCAAATAGTAACAACCATGTGGACTGAAAGGATGAAACATTGGACTATTTATTTGTAGGCTACAAAAAGAAACCTATTCAATATGTTAATAAAGATCGAAAACCTCTGCTGCGTTCACGTCTCTGACTCTGGCACTACCACACAGACTTCAACCACTTCCCATTATGTTAACTTTAATCTGCTTCCACTGGTTTTCAGTAGCTCACTTCTTAATGCATGAAAATTTAATTCAAACCCGGTGCCTGCTGGTGAAAGACTTTATGTGCTTCTCAGTTGCTGCTCAGTTTTAAGTCACTGTGGACGACTTCTCCCCTGCAGCTTTCTGCTGACACTGAAACAATTCTCAACAAAGAAGGCTGCACACTTTGATCAACCACTGCAGGGGCTTTAGACAGGAATGGAGAGAGATGACAAAATAAGACCACATTGCTCACAAAAAAAAAACATTTAGCCACAAATCTTACAAACTGTAAATGCAAGCGCAAACACTTCACTGTACAGACAACTGCATAAATCATTAAGTTCATAAGGCAAACATTTTCTTTAGCATTGGTCAAACCAGTTCTTTGTAGTGTCAGAAAAAAAAAGATCCCACAGGCCCAAATAATGTTTTGATTGTTTAAAATAATGTCAGGATAATCATGTTGGTTTAATCTCTGAAACAACCTTCTGAATCAAGAAATGTTTCTGAAGGTGCTTGCTGTCAGTCCGGAGTGGTAACCATCTCCATGTCATTGTATCTGATTGTTAGGGAGTTACAGCAGATGTCTCTGTGGCCTGGACCTGCAGTGACAGCCCAGTAACAGTTCTTTCCTCGTTGTCACCCCCCCCCCAAAAGATCCAGACACGTCCAGCAGGTTTTATCCCCAGTTGTAGAAGTAGATCTTCTGCCAGGTGGGAAGGTAATCCATCAGAGGGCCTGAACAGACAGAGAGGCAACACAATCAAACCCTGCACTAATATGTTATGAACTGATGGGGCAGCAGACTGCAACACACTGACACTATTCAGTGTATTAACAGGAAAATAGAATTATTCCTGTTTATACACACATTACCCATCATTCACTCTTACTGCCTTGTTGTTACTTATATTTGGGCCATAATTCTATTATTAACTAAAATGTACTAAAAGTTCCACATTTTACACCTTTGTAGTGTTTTATTTGAAGTGTTGATCCATAAGAAGATATATTTATATATATATGTGGTTTTAAGAACCAAAAACCATCTCAGTGTAGTTTTACATCTCCTCTCTCAGGCTTCTCTCTGGAGCAACAGACCGACCTGTCGACTGTTTTCTGAGTGTCAAAGTGATCGTTTTAACTTTGAGTGAAGCTCAGGGACTCGTGTCACTTTTCAGTCTTCGTACACAGTGTTACTCAAAGGAAACATTTACCTTCATACAGACTATTCAACATCTCCCTGGACGTCCCCTCTGACTCAATAACGCTGTGATTTATTGCTGCTTTGCATTTTTCCCTGTTCTGTGCTGAGCAGAGGAACTGGTCTGAATTTCTGTCTGTCACAGCTCCAGAGAGTTGCCTTTATTCTCTGAATATATGTTTAGTGTTAATACCTGGAATCACAAAAACCCTTTCACACAGCACACTACACAGCAGACACATGTAAACAATGTGGTTGTTTGTCTACAGGTAAATATACAATTCAACATATATAAGGAATAAAGTTAATAACAGTAATAACTTATACTTCAAATTACAAATTATATAATAGTTTCTGGAAATGCCTCAGGAAACCATTATAATAATTGCTAAAAATTACTGATATGTCATCAAACTCAATTTGAACTCACTGTGACATCTCATAATTAAACTGCGTGAGGCTGCTGTATAAAATAGTTTTTTGCGTTTTAAAACAACAAACAATTTCCTGCCAAACTACATTTTGTTTCATCTGTGTTCTTCTCGCTGGTTTGAAGTGGGCGGGGCTAAGGTGACGTCACATACCTCCTCACACCAAACAGGATTTAACAATGTTTAAATCAAAATCGTTGTTTGCCCATGTTTCCAAGTCCTGATGAAGCAGATGAACTTCACTTCTGACGTATAAATCCTGACTAAATTATACTAAAATACTTTGTCAGGCTTTAAAAGGCTGATATGTGGAGACACGAGTGCTTACGTGCAATAAGTCCTATTCCTGGAACATGATCAGCCAGGACTCTGAGCAGGAAGAGAATCTTTTCCCTGCAGATGAAGAAACATGATCACGACCATTAAACCATGATTTAAGAACCAACAAAGAACCAACAATTGTCCCTTTTCAGCCATTTTAAAAATACCCAATACACATATTCAGCACATCACCTTGGGCTCTGGTTTAGACATCCACAGACACTTACTCAGAGTATTTGTCATAGAAGGGTGAGCGCAGAAGGTAATACAGCAGAAGAAAGGTTCTCCTCCTCATCTCTGCTCTCTCCCATCGATTCTGAAATTTGGTTTCATTGAGCACAGCGAAGCTGGAGGGAGGAAGGACGAATAACTGAAGTAAAATATTCACGACTCATTTCGTTAAACTGCTAAACTGACTAAAATGATGGATTTTGTAGTAGCTTATCTCCTCATATTTTCATAAATCAGCCTTCACTCGTCAAGTCTGACAGACAAAACAAACAAGAACTGAATTTTTGCCTCAAGTAAATGCCTTCAGACAAACCACACAGCCTTTCATCTGCAGTCTTGGGTGGATCACTTTGAAGTTCTTGAAAAGCTGGCCTGTCAGTCATGATCACAGAGTGACGTAAAGTATTTCCATAAAACGGGACTGATGACTTATAAATACTTTACATTTTTTTACTTGTTCCACTGGACATGAATCAAAACTGTCTCAGTTCCACAAAAAAACAATGAGTCATGCAACTCTCAGATTCTTTTCAGAAAATGGAAAAAGAGACTGGAGACAATAAACAACAACCAAAAACATGGAGGAAAATATTTGCATGAAGAATAAAAAGCCTCATGAGAAAAATTGATTTATTCAGGATCGCCTCTGGATTTAGATAAATCTGAAGATTTTACAAATACGATGTGAAAACATCTTTGAATTTAAAAAATATATATGTACTCACAGTTTTGCCGATCTACAGTTAATTTCTAATGTGGTTAATGAATCATAATTTGTCTTCTATAGTTTCTGCCGTTTAGAGAAAAGCAGGCACGGTGTTTCCAATGTAACTGAGGACATGATACGGTGAAGGAGGAGCATTCTTACCTGGAAAGTTCAAGGACTCCGGAGACGAGCCACGGCTTCCAGGACTGTTTTCCACACACAGCGAGGCAGAGTACTGCAGTTAGCTTTCAGGAAAACTGTTGTATACTACGACTCTATATACAGGGGTCCTGTACTGGACTGGACCCCCGTATACAGCTACAGCCCAACAAGAATTTCAAGGAATCTAACAACTTTGTCTTCTTTCTTCACTTTGTCCTCAAAAGAAATATTTGGTCACTTCAGACGTTGTATGAATCGTAATTTGTAGAGTTATGTTTTTATGATTTTAAATGTTTCTGTGTAATTGTACGACTTCATAAACAAAAGCCATGACGCATTTTTTCTGGGTTAAACAACTGTGTTTTGGTCTAGAAGTAATAACAAGATTGTTTTGTTGTGAAGTGAACAAGAGAATCTATTTCTCGAGAGTCATTCATTCTCACTGCTCATGTTTCACACAGTGAGGATTCATTTTTACAGACTATCTTCGTCCTCTACAGAAACAGCTCCAGCTTGAAGCAGCTTGCCATCTAGCGGTCAGAGTCATTAATGCAAGACAAGCTCACAATGTTAAGTTAGTGCAATTTAACCAAACTGTGGTGGCACAGCACATGTGTTTACAACATGAGATGCTCTCTGTTACTGTCCCCTCGCCATGTCTCTGCTGCACTTCTTCTGATTCATCAGATATAAACAACTGTAGCCGTTCAGATCTGATATGACAGACCGCTTTAGTATCAGTTTACCTTTAGCTCAACTGTGGAGCGCTGTGTTCTACTGAGGAGGGATTACACATTTCCCCCCACTGACAATGAACATGAAAAATACAATACACACTGATTGCAATTCTTCACCTCGGGGAAACTTTCAGGCAGTTCCTTTTTTTGTTTCAAACTAAAAACAAAAAAAAAACATCAAATTGGAGGAAACGGTCCATTTCTGGTGTTTGCAAATTCCTTTTTGTTCCATTTCAGAGGTAAATATTTCAAAATAAAAGCCAAGATGTGTAAAATTATATTTACATTATAATATGTGATATTTTGTACATCTGATCTATTCTTTCATGAATAATTGCACCGGCTTTGACAGAAAAAACAAGAAAACCAGATAAAGATGAAACATTTCTAACATTTTCTACTAATCTTTACAGGGTTGTGCAGCATTGGCAGAGCCATCTTCTTTGTATTTGAGCTCTAGTTTAATATCATTCATGAACTGGACGGACTGGATGTCTATGAACTGAAGGATACAGTGTACGAGAGGCCGACTGATGTACACAGACTCAGCGATGGTCTGCTGGAGCCCCAGGTGTGTTGGTTTGCTGTGGAGCTTCTCCCTCAAGCTGCTGTTTCTCCTCTTCCTCTGACCTGGTGCCCCCCACAGCCGGGCCTGCAGGGACAGGCCTGCCACAGAGAGGGGGACGAATATGACACTGTATATAACTGACAGCAACATAAACAAATAAATCAACAACAGCTGCTGATTTAAAATTTGGGATCGTTATTCATTCACAGCAGAGAGCTCATAATCACTTCCTGTTCCTACTACAAAAAGCTTGATTTTAAATATTTCTTTGTCAGATTAAATATTTGTGACAATCAAAATTTGCTTAACAGTGAGTTTGATCAGATCTGATTGACAACGCGTAAGTGTCACATAGGTGGAAGTCTGTGTGAAGTGTTCTTCACAGTCTGAGAGCGGCCAATTTATTCATTTAAAGAGGTCAAAACTCCAAAAACTGCTTCGTCCCTGTTTTTATTTGAATGTGTGAAGGTTGAGGAAGAGATGAAGTAAAAAGCCACAGCAGTGAAGCTGCACACATGCAACCTGGCTGTCGTCTTTATGTGTTTCTGGTAAACAGGCTTTTAAATTTCTATTTACTCATTTGGCAGATGACATTTCTTGAAAGAGCTTTTGTTAAAGTAACCAGATTTTTACGCGTTCAGATCACACCATGTTTCCGTCACACAGGTGCTTAATGAGCTCAAATTACTCTAAATTACTCGACTCTAATTTTCCTGCTATGTGAAACTTGAAAGGATATTACATTTCAGCTGTAATCACCTACGAAAAGAAAAAGCTTTTTAAAGGCTTACCACTGCCCAGTGGCCGATGACTCGTCCTGACCTCTGGCCCACAAAGCACGTGTCATCTTGCTCCTCCCCATTACCATCATCTGTGGAGGAGAGGGGGAAACACAATACACTCATTACACACACGACACACACACACACCGCTTATCACTTGCAATTCGAAACGAAGCTGATGAGAGCAGTGAGACTGAAAACAGTAAATGTGCTGTATACCCAAAACAATGAGCTAAGAGAGGCTCAACAGAGCTGAGGAGAACAGAGTCAGTGATAAATCTTTGTGATAAATCTGTGTGTGTGAAAAGACTATTTAGAATTTAGTCTTTTCACATTAAATATAATACATTTTGCTCCTTGTTCT